TTTTCAGAAAAATGTAGAAATTTATAAATATATACTATTATATCTGATTAAAGATTAAAGAAAATTAAAATAATTTAAATAATAAGTTTTAATATATATTCTTTCTTTTATAAATAATTATTTATATAATATTAAATATTTCTGTTCCAGGTACTCCAGAAGTATTAATATTTAATTAATATTATTATTTTTATTTATTTAGAATAAGCTAATAATAGCTATTAATAAATTTTATTTAATAATTAGATTTATAAATTATTTTTATTAAAAATCATTAATCTATTTTAATATAAAAATATTTATTTTATAAAAAATAATTAGTTTTTTATTAACAGGCTTACTTCTGGAAATTCTTTGAAAAAATAAATATAATTAATTCTCAGAATATACTTATAATATAAAAATCTTATTTTATAGAAATTTTTAATACTGGTTCCGGAATTATACCAAATTCTAAAAATTTAGACTTTAATAATATTTAATAATAATAATTATTAATTATCTCTAAATTAATCTTTTTTTATATAAAATAATTAGCTAGTATATTATTTTTTCTAAATTAATATTTAATAATAAAATAATATTAGAATGATATTTCTGCCTAATAAGCTTATCAGATATTAAACTTTTTAATAATTATAAAATATTTTAAAATTTAATAATATTATTAAAATTATAAATTTTTTTAATTATTATAGGCCTTCTAGCTCTGCTCTTTATTTTATAAGAATATATATAATTATTAATATTTTTTATTATAAATATTATAATTATATTTAAATAAAAATATAGTTTTTAAATAATAAATTATAATAAATTAATATTAAAATTAATATTAAAATCTGTTTCAGAGCCTGGAAGATATCTTTATAAAATTAATTTATGGACTTAGTAATCTAACTATAATTTTTATAAAATATTGATAAAAATTATAGAATCTGGGAAATAATTAAATTTTCTTAATAATAATTAAATATTATTATTTTATAATTATAATAATTTTTATAAAATTAACATGAATACCTATAATAGTAATAATAAATTCTGGAAATCTAGTTTTTCTTATATAAAATTTATATTTATTAATTATTACTTAGAATCTAGTTATTTAAAGAGACTTAAAAATTTAATAAATATAAAACTTATATTTTATCTTATTTTTATTAAAAATTAATATATTATCAACATATATTATAATTAATTTATCCAGAAAAGCTATAAAAACCTTATTAATAAGATACTGGAAAGTTGCTAGTCTATTTATAAATTTAAATAATAATATTTAATATTTAAAAATCTTATAATAATTTTAGAAAATAATTAGATTTTCAGATTTAGAATTTATATAAATATAATAGAACTTTTAACAGATATTAAATTTTATAAATATTTTTATATTTCAAAGACAGTCTATTATCTTATTAATTAAAGAAAAATAAGAATTTTTTTAAATCAGGATAATAAGCTTACAGTAATTAATATATAAATATAATTTTTCTCTAGATTTTTTTATTATTAGAATAGAGAAGGTAAATAGAATTATATTAAATATAATAAATTTTTTTAAATTTTTAATAATTTAATTCTGGACAGCTTTAAATTTCTTTAAAATTATTTTATAGAAAAATTATTTTTAATAAATTATTTTCTTCTAGCTAGATACAATAATTATAAAACTAGAAAAAAAATAAAATATCTAATTTTTTTAAAAGAAATATTTATTAAATTATAATAATACTCCAGAAGGATCTACTTTATCTTTTTTTAATTAATTAATTAAAATATTTTATTTTAAAATTTAGTTTTTTATAATAATTTTCTTAATAGTATTCAGAGATATAATAAATACCTTTAATTTAAAATTCAATAAATATTCATAAAAGATAACAGTCTTGATAAAAATTATTTTAATTTTTATAATTTTTTTTAAAAAAAATTCTAGATAATTTTTAAAATTTAATATTAAAAACTCTAATTTATTATAATAATCTAGCCTTAATCTTATCTTATAAAAAATAATCAGATTATATAAACTTATTTTATTAATAATTTAATAAAATCTTATATTTTATAAATTATATTTATTTTAAAATAATATTATGGCAGTCCACTTTAAGTATTAAAAATAATATATTATAAAACTAGTATCTGTTAATTATAAATATAAGTTAAATAATATGAATTAAGAATATTATAATCTAATTATTAAAATCTATAATAATATAATTAATTTTAAAAAAATAATCTTAATTCAGAAGCAGCAGGCTATCTGAATAATAAAAATAATATTTATATAAATATTTTTATTAATTTTAATATTAATAAAGATATATATAGATACTACTAATCTATTATTTAATATTAAAATTTTAATAATAAAATTTATATTCTCTTGACCTAGTAGGTTTTATAAATCTAATAAATTAATATTAATATTTATTTTATCTAGAAAAAAGCCTTTTTTAGATATTATTTTTTATTCAATTATTATCTTTTATTGTTTTTAATAACTTGATCTGGCCTGCTTTCTTTTTTTTATAATTCTAAATTAAATATTATTATTTTTAATAAATAAAATAGTATTTTTTAAATATTATATAAGTGTGTTTCTCCGGTTTTATATTAATAATATAATTAATATTATAAAAGATTTTAACCAGAATAAAAAGATTATAATTATAATAATAATAATAATTAATATAAATAGCTGGCAGTTTAGGGTATTTATCTTATTATAATATTTTATTATATTATTAATTAAATTTAATAATTAAATATAGTTCTTGATGTATTATTTAAATATTATATTATTATTATTAAAATAAAATATTATTAATTTCTATAATTTTAATAAAAGATATTAATAAAAATTATTTTTAAAAAACTTTAATAATATTTATCTTTACTGCAAGATAATAAAATATAAATATAAAATTATAAGATTTATTATTAATTATTATTTTGAGCTTTTAATATTACTAATATATATTATAAAATTTATTTAAATTAATATAAATAATTTTTAAATATTTAAGCATGTTAGTTACATCTATATAAAAATCTAGAATATTAAAATAAAATTAAAAAATTAAAAATATTTTTAATATTATTTTTATAATAATTAATTATTTAAGCTTATTTAATAATAATTATATTTAAATAATTTATATTAATTTCTAGTTTTTACTATATTATCAAAAGCTAATTTTTAAAACTAATAATTTTATTATTACTAAATAGAGATAAATCAAGAATTTTTATTAATTTTTTAAATTTAGAGAGTTCAGCTACTCAGTTATTTTAATTATTAACTTATAAAATTAGACTATATATAAATTATATTTATATATTAATTTATTATAATTATTATTAAATTTATTCTACTGGTAAATAATCTTATATATTTTTATTTTTATTTTTTTTATCATATAAAAAATTATATTAAAAATTTTCTTAGAATTCTTTATATACAGCTTATAAAATTAATTATAAATAATATTTTTTTAATTATCAGATTCCTTTTCTAGTAGAATACTTAAGTATTATTAAGAATTAATAATATATAATACTAATTTAATATAGCTTTTTTTAATTATTATAAATATTTTTATTAATTATTCTAATTTAGATTTTAATTAGATTATTTTATTTTAACTATATTTGATATTACTAAGTATATATAAAAAGTAATATTAGCTGTTAAATTAAATAATTAATAATATATAATATTAATTAAAAAAATAGAAGATATAATAATACTAGAAATTATATAAAAATTATTTAAATAGTTAAATTTAGTGTTATTTAACAAGAATTTCTAGTATAAGAAAAGAAAAGAAAGAAACTCAGAAAAAATATATACTCATATAAAGGTAAGCAAGCTATACAAGATAAATAAATAAAATAAATGAAACAGAAGTTATGTGATCCAGAAACATCACTCGCTGTCACAGATATTATATTACTGGTTTAAATTAGAATAATATTAAAGTCTTCTAGAAAAGCTTTAAAGTTTCTGTCATCTTATAAAAAAATATAATTTTTTCAAAATTTTTATTTTTAATTTTTTATTATTTTTTATGGATAACTATACTATCTATATTCTAATATTATAATGGGATTTTTTTCTATACTTTTTTCTAGTTATCTAAATATATAAATTATTTATAATATATTATTAGAATATAGAACTGAATTTATAAAAATTTAAATTATAAATATATTTTTAAATTCAAAATAATCCTGCTTATCCTACCTATTAAAAAATTTGATTTTAAAATATAAAGACCTTAGTTATAAGATTATGTATTAGAAAAGTAACAGATAATAATATTATAAAAAATATTATTTATTATTTATATATTAATAATATTTTATAATTTATAAATGTATTAATTCAGCAGTTTATATTTACTTTATTAAATTTTATTAATAATAATTTTATTATTTTATTATTTATTATTCTGCTTTTTCTAACCTGTTTATAAAATTGATAAAAAACTATAATTGTATTATATTATGTATTATTTTTTATTCTATTCTATTCTATTTTATTAGTTATATAATTAGATTATATTTTATAGATTATTTAGAAGAGCTATTTTTAATATTAAAAATTATTTCTTAATTATATTAAATAAGAAAAAAAATAGCTGGTATTTAAACAGGGTCTCAGAATTTCTAAGATTTTATATGTAGTAGTTAATCAGCAGGTAGTAATAAGACTGGGTAGCCAAGTCCTCTAGTAGAGACCTGTCCCATAACACTATCTTGTTTTTATTATTTTTATATTAATTTTATCATTTTTTATTTCCTTTTTCATTTCTCAGTTAGTTCTTGTTCTATTTTCTAGCAAGTCTTATATCTTAATTATCTCTCCAGAGATTACTGCCAGCAATTCTTTTAGTCTGAAAGGTCATGTGACCTTTGCGCAGCAGTCACGTGTGATAAGGCATCGGACGACTGAGGTCTCACAGTACCTAGCCCACTAGCAATCTCTTTGTAATTTCATGAAATAGTCTAAATATTTCCAAGTCTTTCAGCCCTCTCTTACGGTCTTGTTCGTAATATTCGTTTGAGTTTATATATAGTTGTTATCATTTTTAGTCCCTAAAATCCGATAGATTATATGACTATCATGTATGTATCAAATAATGAGACATGGGATAATGGTGGGCCATGTGATACAAGTTGCATAACTGTGGATCAATCAGCAATCCAATTCTGTTAATATCTTTTGTGTTTCTCGCACACCCAACCTAACATCCGAGCCTTCGGTGAAGTGCAACACTACACACCGTCCTTGCTTGTGTAGTAGCCAATCTGTCCACCATGGGAATACCATTTCTCACACGTCATTTGTATCCGTTTGCTGAGGCCGTCATATTGGGAAAGTCCCAGGAAGTCCAGCACAAACAAACAGAACATGTTGAGGCTGTTGTAATAGATGGACCAAGTCTTGTTTACCATGTCTCTACGCGCCTGTTATCGCTGTCGAATACTTTCTCTCAGCCAACCTGCGATGAAGTAAGCTGTGCGGTGATGGTCTACCTCTTGCAACTGAACATGCTCGGTGTGAAAATGTACAGTATATAGTCCATTGTGTTTCCTATAATAGGCCGTGTTGAAACTAAATTCTTGATAGACATAAGATATGCTTTGATGGGGCGTTACCTGATGAGAAACGGGAAACGCGCCTTGCTCGACTGGAGAGGTCAAGAAAAAAACTTGTGACGCTCCGGACCAATTCACCACAATGCTTTCAAAAGTCTAGTAGCTCACCCAGGTCTCGCACAATAAGCCCGAAGAACATTTTGCAGAGAAGGAGCCTACCGGCAAAATGTGCTAATATTCCCGAAAATCCCTTTATCGTTCCTGCGGTCTTCGAAGATCTCAAAGATCGATGGTGCAAGAAGAACATAAACAGCGTGGTAAAAGACGTTGCAGACCTGGATACTGCTTCCTTAAGCGATTTTCCCTGGAGAGATGCTGTCATGATGGTCCCAGGTGAAGCAGATACATATTGCGCCCATGTTGCTAGGCTCACCGGCTGTGCTATACTCACTAATGACTCGGATCTACTGCTTCATGACCTTGGGAAACATGGTTCCGTCGTCCTAATGGATTCAATTGAGCCGTGGACGTGCGAAATCTCTCGACATAAGCACACCTTGATTCGAGCTTTAAGACTGTGTCCAAACCTAGTCGCAAATCGGCTAGGTCTGACAAGCTTGCTTCCTTTGGCTTACGAGTTGAAAAGTCATCCGGACACTGGTTTGAAGCAGATAATACAGCAATCAAAGGATAAAGAATCCTTCGAACATATACCGGGATATTGTCACTTTGTGGAAGAATATAAAAGCAGACCAAGCCTTTCCCAGGAAATGCTATGTGAAAGCTATCCCCAACACCTTGATCCAAGAATATCAGAGCTATTCTCATTGCGTGGGAGAATTCAGGACTCCTCAGGACAGTTATACATGTATCTCGTCCTTCTGAATGAGGACCCTGCGCGACAATGTGCATGGGCTCAGGGCAAGCTGTATAGAAGCATGGCGTATACCGCTCTCAATATATCTTTCTCTGCTGACGAAAGCTATGCTTTCGTCGACGAGTATGTCCGACGAGGAAGTAGAATTACGACAGACCGCATACCACTGGGAAATAGGGAGTGGCTTCTGCTGGAAATGAGTTCACTATGTTCACTTTTGGACACAGTACATCTTCAGTCGCGGCTTGAAATTGCTTCGCCAGCATATTGGAGAATCCTCGCATTCTATATAATTCACTATGAGCAAACCGGTTCTGCTATCAATTATACGGAGCATTTAAGGCGACTGTTAATGATGGGAAACGGTGACAACCTTGATTGGGCTGATGTCCATCTAATGGCGCAGATGCAATCCGTGCTATATTCATTGAGGATTCTCAGACAAATCCTTGGATTTACAGGGTTTACCGACGATCTGACACTTCGAATTAGGACTATATTGGATAATTTGCCCCCCCTCCATATTTTGATGAGGCCTGTACACGAGATGACTCAGGAATTTCGCACTGACTGCTCCGTCAGTGACCTTGTAGATCGGCTGGTTAAGCTCTTGGGAAATAGCTCATATGAAGAAGACTCCCCAGACTACATGGCCGAGTCGCACACAGGTCGAGATGAGTCTGCATCGTCACCCACAGAAGTTAATGGATCTGGGGATGCCCGAGCTAGTCGATCTACCAGGACGCTAGCTAACATGTACGAATTACTTTCAGAGCAATAAATTTACATCCCTATGTACCGATACATCACTATACATCGAATTGTGCTATAATGAAGACCATTCATTCATGTTAGCTCGTGTGGCCCAACTTTCCAAAAAGTAGATACGAAAATATCATCAGCGTGTAGACCGCAAGAACCCAACTACTCCTCTGCAGTAACCGACCAATCCAGCCAAGCGCTCTGCCTCCCGCTGCAGTGCCTGTCTCCATCCAGTAAGGGCAGATTTCAAAGCGTTTTCCTCGTCCACATTGGTACCAGAGCATTCTGCCACAATATCGGCATGTATTCTCAAAAAGACTGCCATCCATGTGTTGACGAGCTCAAAGTCTCTTCTCGATCCCAGGCGAGTAGATAACGCGGAGACAAAGGCGGATAGCTCAGAGTAACCGTCTCGTACCTGTGGATCCAGTGACCTAATCTCAAGATCTGCCTTTGCTGGAGGCATACCTTTCAAGTGCTCAACAAACGAATCGAAGTTTCCCGAGACATAACCTGAATGTAGAAGATCAGTGAAACGCGTGCTCATAATTCCGGATGTATCCTTGGAATTGTGGAGTTTCGCGATTCGCGAGCGCTCAGCAACCGTGCCCTCACTTGATGTATTCGGGTCACTATCAGGGAGCTTTTGTTCACCGGCAGCTGGAAGAAAGAATGGAGCCTTCTGGGGGGCTTTCGGTGGATCTTTAGGTTTGTTGCGTTCCTGGCAGAGGTCAGAAGCTAATCATAAGGCCAAGGCGAGGCACATTATATATTTGATGAACCTGCAGCTGTAACAGCAAATAGCGGGAAAGGGCTCACCTTGATTAAGTTCAGCTGAAGCAACGTTTGCCACTTGCTCTTAGGAACAACACTAAGAGTGACCATATCCCCGTTGAGCTGTTCGATGGATGGTAACGGGCCGTCCACTTCTGCTTCATCAGAGCCATCTGAAAATGCTGCTTCGATAACTCCAGGATAGCCGTCGTTGGAAGAAGTGGGGATGTGAACATTTGTCATGGCATGCTCATCCACATTCCGCGTTGAGATAGGTACAAACAAACTTTTGTTGGACCAAAGGCTGATCCCTACCCCGTCAGCATGTGCAGTAGCCAAGAACTCGCCCGTTGAGGACATCGCCAAAGAGGTGCATGTGCTTGAGGCGCGGAATACATCAATGAGATGGCCCGTTGGTAAATCCCAAACGCGGATTGTAGAGTCCATGGAAGCTGCAATGATCCAGCGTCCATCGGTTGAGAAAGTGAGATCATTGATTTGGCCCACGCATCCCCAAAATTCACGAATGACTTTCTTGGTTTCAACATCAACTACGCGAATTGAGAGGTCGTCACAGCTGAATGCAACAAGCTCGTTTGTGTGGTTGCTTCGAAGTCCAATGATAGAAGTCATAGGATACCAATCAAGCTGATCAACCAGGTGACCCGACACTAGGTCCCAAAACTAATTTGTAATGACATTTTCAGTACAATTTAGATCAGGCACAGAGGGGAGTTAGTCTTACCTTGACTTTACCGTCGAGTCCACAACTAATAACAGTGCGATTCAGTCCATCAATCATCAAGCCAGTCACTGCTTTGGTGTGTTTGATATCATGGCTCTCAGAGATGGGCAACGGAGTAGGCCGTTGTTTAAGATCACCCTTGGGAGACTTGGCTGGGAAACTCTGTCTGTATAGACCAGATTGCATGTTGAACATGTCAATGGTACCTCCCGCAGACCCAATTATTGCGAAGGTTCCGCAACGTGAAAGAGCCACACTCTATCACAGAGACATCAGAAAGAAGTTCTCGATATACCGAGGTATTTGCTTACCTTGACTTCAGTTCCATCGCTGGTTTCGAACGCCCAACGCCCGGCTTTCTTTTTGCCCCAGAACCATGTTCGAGCATATTTATCTCCACGATGGCCAGTAACTATACTTTCCCAGCCCGTCTTGCTCGAATCTTCTGCTCTTGTTGTTTTAGGATTCGCCCAGATGGGGCCGGACGTCGTGGTACCCATCCCGCCATCGCGGTTCAGGGAGCAGGCGATACAGGTAATTTCCGGTGCCCGGAAGTCGGTTTCCAAATTAGCATGCGTGACGCCAGTATAGGTGCTGGGTGCACCCCTTCTTTTGGATTTGTGTTCAACGGCTCCCTGAGAAATCTCGGTGTTCTGGCTATCCTTCCGTACACTGAAACCCCAGAGGCTGCAATCCTTACTAGCGCTCAGCAACCACTTTCCACTGAATTCAGAGCCATCAGACCCTGAAGGCAAGAACTCTAGGGCAGTAATTGCAGCCGAATGCCCACTTCTTATGTGAAGAGGCCTGGGAATATGCGAGAATGGAATTTCATCGAAAATCCATGTCTTGAGAGAATTATCTTTCCCAGATGAGACCAGGACAGGCTGGCCGTCCAAGAACTGTAAATGGCTTATTCCCGAACCCGATTCACCAGCGAGTGCATGTGCCCGACGGAGGACGCCCATCGCCCTTCCACCGTTGTTCAGGTCCCATATAGTGACATCACCACTTTCAACAGAACCAGTCACCATCATGCCAGCAGTTCGTCCATGTTCGCCCGCACCTAGGCCATCTTGCCGAAAGGCGAGCGATGTGACGCAGTCCATTTGTGGAGAGCCTGCACGCAAGGTCATAGCCAGTTGGCATGTCTCAACATTACAGATAGAGAGTGCCCCACTCTTGTATGCAATGGCAATCAGGGATAACGCGGGTGTTGGTTGAAGAGCAGTCACTGCACCTGCATGTGCTGACATTGGGGGCATTGAATATACTAGCCTCCCGGTCTTTACATTCCAGATGTCAACCTTTCCGTCACATCTGCCAACGAATACTTTGTTGAGGTATGTCGGCATGTTGCAGATTTGACCGGCATATACCGGTCCATCTGAAAGGTTACTGACACGTTGAGGTCTGAGAGTCGTGTAGTGTTGATACGAGGCATTTTTCCACACTTGAATGCACCTGCTGCTGCAGCCAACAATCCATGTGCCGAATACAAGCAGCCGTTCAATGGGCTCCGAAAACCCAGCAGGCACTTCCAAAGACGCAATTTTTTTACCTCTCTTGAACACCCATATACCCCCTTCCGAGCCGGGCCGAAGAGTTCCCCATGCTGCAAAGATCCTGTCTTGCCAAGCACAAGTAGCAGTGATGATATCTGGCGTCTGAGGACGACTAATAAATACCAAGTTGAGACCTCGCTTCAGATCGTAGGTCTGCAAGCAGCGCCCTACAGATGTGGTGATTTGGAATGTCGCTTTGCCTAGGCGGACAGAGGTGAAGGGAACTTCGGTTGATACCAGTCCTAAAGTCTGCATTAGAATTAGTATATTTCATTATATAACATCTGGGTAGCTAGCAAGCCTCCAGAAAAAACGTTCGTCAAAGTAAGGTTTTTTTGCTTACCCGGAAGGGCGAAAAGATTTTAGATCCAGGCGTTCGCGGGGATTTCTCAGTTTCCTCTGCGACTGTTCTCTTTTGCCGTTTTGCCAGAGGCAAATCAAAGCCATCATCTTTCAAAGACGGCATTATTCGTTTATTTCAACTGTAATTGAGTGAACGAGGCGCCGGAAAGCTAATGGTATCTAAAGTAAATATTTCTGGAGGCATATCTGTGACGGAATTATTGTATCTCCGGCTTACAGGAACCCCTCCTATTGGTCCAAATTACAGTGTGCGCAAGTACGACTACTACTTACTAGTACTCGATAGGTACTGCGTCTGTAACTACTGGATGACAATGTTATGGACTACTCTTGCGGAAACATTTTTAGAATTCTTTTAAGGAAATTCAATCATATTACCCTACCTTGAGATTCTGTACTACTCTGGTTCAGGTGTCTTTTGAAAGTAAACTACACTAACCAGTCACAGTCACATGATCTATATCACTTGGTTCTTCCGTAATGATAATTACCACAGACAATGTAATAAAGTAAAGCTCTTTATTCAAGGGTATACACTATTTTCATACATGAACGTCTTTATGTACGTAGGCTTTTAAGTCGTATGTGACAGTCGTATATGACTTGTTGTACTTCTTACGATTCCATAGCATGCACATATACCCTGCTGATTGGTATGGTACTGCGGAGGCAATGGCTCAGCAATTGAAACATTCATTTTGATTACTATGGTAGCACTAAGCATAGCTTTGCTTAACTGCCTGATCTTGAATCATCTACTAATATCATCTCTTGCAAAGCTAGAAAGTAGGGCCTAAATATTCTCGATTTTCGAATCACGCAAATAGTTTTAGAGCGTTTCGATGAACCAATGATGTATGTGGAACGCCACTGTAAAACAGACGACTTTGTAAGTCATGCTAGTCCTCTGTAGGTTGGCCACGCTGATCGGTGGACTAGACAATATTCTACGACGTACTGCAATCTCTAGGGCGTCTACACGTAAAAAGTACCAAAGTATTCATTGTCTGCCCCTTTCAGAGATAAGTAGAATAATACTTCATCTACCCCTCTTGACCCACAAACCCACAAATCGACCAAAATGTGGTTAAGCTGCAGATCGTGATTTGGCAGTTCAATCAAGGTAGGTACTTAGTTGATGCTACTACTATAAGTAGTAACTATTGCTTCGTGAGGCAATCAATGGTATGGTAGTAGTACTTATTCGATATGGTTGTATTGTGAGCACCTCCAAACAGATTCATTATATTCTTACGCTTACTTTGGTAAAAAGGCAAGGCAACAGACAAACCGAATTCGCCATTGCCTATAGGCCTGTGTACTGTGTGTATGCTGGGAACGAGCTGAACCGGGGGTGACAATAATAAATTGTTGGTGATCCGAGTTGTGGATCTAAATGGCTTGACTCCGCACTGCATGCATTAGCTTAATACTCAAGTCGCACTGTACGTAAGTATAGTTATACACTGTATGGAGTTCCAAGCAGAACAATATATCTGCGAAATGTGCTCTGTAGACCTTCAAAACCTAAATTATCTTTCAGTTAGCAAATCTGATTACAATTCTATAGTACTGAACGCAGCCCGCAATCCTCAATGGATTTAGTAGTATTGACCAGAAGGCCAACCTGCGATTTGCCTTAAGCTGGACCCGGCACAACGGGAAGGTCAATACGTACGTACCCACAATGCACAATCGTTCCTGCTGGATAACCACAGGGTTTAATTGCGCCACTTTCACAGCGGTCGCCAACGGGCCAGATTCAATTGAAAGAAAGCGAGGATAGAAACAATTCCGATCTATTTCTCTTTTCTTTTCTTTTCTCTTTTCTCACTTATTATATTTTATATCAATTTTCCCTTTCGAGGCAAAGGATCAACAAACAAATTGGACACCAAGAACATATTTTCTGAGACGAAAATACGTCATTCACTGACTTTTCGTTATCTGTTGACTGCACGTTCGGCAAGCTCCTACCCAGAACCTGATCAGTGCCATCCTGTGACCAAGCTCATTTTATCCGACATCTTCATGCCAAATTTCTAAGCCTCATGTTCAATGGATATCAGTGAGCCCATTGTCTCTCTTTCTAGTGACGTTGGCACCACAGTCCCCAGTATGGAAGCGAAGCCAGACTCCGGAGCATCGTCGCCGAGTGTAGGCTCTGATCGCATAGACAAAGGCTCCTTCAGCCTCCTCTCTGAACCAACCGCCCCAAATTCTTCGAAGGGAAACACCAATGGCGTGCAGGTCCAAGGATCCCAGCCGTACCAATTCGAAAGTTCTTCAAGTAACTGGAACGTTGGACAAGGCCCTAACCCTTCAGTCCGCTCATCTAGTCGAGCGCCCAGAAGGCTCAGTGGGAGCACGGCTGCAAGCTCCATCAGTGAAGCTGAAGTCTCCGGAACACCGCACCTTGGAAGAATTGGTGTCTGTGCATTGGACGTGAAAGCTCGCAGCAAGCCTAGCCAAAACATATTGACGCGTCTTCAGTCCAAAGGTGGATTCGAAGTAATTGTCTTTGGTGACAAGGTGATCCTCGACGAAGCTGTAGAGAATTGGCCTATCTGCGAATACCTGATAGCGTTCTTTTCTGATGGGTTTCCGCTGGACAAAGCTATCGCATATGCAAGACTTCGAAAGCCATTTTGTGTCAATGATCTTCCCATGCAGAAGGTATTATGGGACCGGCGTCTCTGCTTGAAGATACTAGATCAGATGAGCGTCCCAACACCCAAGAGACTGGAGGTTAACCGAGACGGAGGGCCTACCCTGGAATCCCCAGAACTCGCCGAGCATGTATATAATCTGACAGGAGTGAAACTCGAGGGTCCCAGTGACGGCACTGGTGGAGGAGCCTCGAGAACAATGAACGTGAGGATGTCTGACGATGGCGATTCTCTTATTGTTGACGGCAAGGTTTTCAGAAAACCTTTCGTTGAGAAGCCAGTAAACGGGGAAGACCACAATATTCATATATACTTCCCTAATGACCAGCAATATAGTGGCGGTGGTAGAAGGCTATTTCGAAAGGTCGGGAACAAAAGCTCCGAATACGACCCCGACCTTACCGTCCCCCGATCAGTCACAGAAACGGATACAAGCTACATCTATGAACAGTTCCTGAGGGTCGATAATTCAGAGGACGTCAAAGCCTATACAGTCGGTCCAGATTTCTGCCATGCAGAGACGCGGAAGTCTCCTGTGGTTGACGGACTCGTTCGCCGCAATACCCATGGAAAGGAGCTCAGGTATATAACAAAACTGAGCAAGGATGAAGCAGCTATTGCTTCTAAAATATCAAATGGATTTGGCCAGAGAATATGCGGGTTCGACATGCTTCGCGTGGGGGAGAAAAGTTATGTGATTGACGTTAACGGCTGGAGCTTTGTCAAAGACAACAATGACTATTACGACAGATGCGCTGCTATTCTGAGAGACACTTTCCTGAATGAAAGGCGCAAACTCGAAGGAATTATTGAGCCCGTCGATGCTATTCCTGCTGATTCTGGACATTCTTGGAGACATTCCATGTCTCACAGACACACCCTGAAGACCCTTTTGAAATCTCCAAGTGCATCGAAGCTTCATGGGAGCCAAGCCGGCCTAAGAAGTTCTGACACAGGCTCGTCTGATTCCATTGTTTCGCGACCAATAACTTCATCATCCGCGGAGAAGGTCGACAATGGAAACGGCCATGCAGACCCTAGTGGGCTTGATAAACTCGCGCACCCCAAGATCTATACTTCGCAGAACTCTAAGTCGTCAATATTACCAGTGGATCTGCCTACCGAGGGCCTGCCGCCGCCGCCGCCGCCGCCAGCTTCGAAACACTCATGGAAACTCAAGGGAATGGTAGCAGTCATTAGACACGCAGATCGCACACCCAAGCAGAAGTTTAAATTTACGTTTCACAGCCAGCCTTTCATTGACTTGCTCAAAGGCCATCAAGAAGAGGTAGTGATAAAGGGTGAGGCTGCATTGGCAAGCGTTTCGGATGCGGTCAAGGTTGCCATGGACCAGAATCTTGAAGATATGGACAAGTTAAAGCTGCTCCGAACGTCACTTGAGAAGAAAGGTGGCTGGCCAGGGACTAAGGTCCAAATCAAACCAATGTTTCGCAAGCGGAAGCCAGAAGAGCTACGCGGGCAGACTTCGTCGGTCCTCCCGACATCCCCTTCTGAGCCACCGCAGCATGAATTACTTGTATCTACGCAAGACCAGCATTCCGCAGAAAATGATCAACTCAGTCGGCCTCAAACGCGGAGTGACTCGATATCCGGTGCAACCTTTTCGAGATTCTCTGCCGCAGAAAACGACCTGATCCTAGACAAACTCCAACTCGTGATCAAGTGGGGTGGAGAACCAACGCATGCAGCACGCTATCAATCGCAGGATTTAGGGCTTAACATGCGTGATGATCTGAAGCTCATGAACAAGGAAGCATTGAATAATGTCCGCATATATACAAGCTCTGAACGAAGAGTGAGCACGAGTGGTACGTCAAGACAATGTTCTTTCTGGTCTTATTCTAATGAGTAAAATAGCCCAAATATGGGCTTGCTCCTTTCTCGATCAGAAGGAGCTTCCCGAAAATTTCATACAAGTCCGAAAAGATCTTCTGGATGACTCGAATGCTGCCAAGGATCTCATGGATAAGGTGAAGAAGAAGCTAAAGCTCCTTCTAAGGGAAGGATCCGCGCCCTCGCAGTTTACGTGGCCGAAGGACAATATCCCGGAACCATCAGTCGTGCTAGCTACTGTCGTTGAACTGATGAAGTTTCATCGGGATGTCATGAGACACAATTTCCGCAGATTTGACGAATCATCGTCTCAGCCTTCTGGGACAGATGAAATAAACGACGGCTGCCCATCCTTCCAGCCTAACACAGGATGCGAAAAGCCTTCTTTGTCTTCCATTCAAGGAAGATGGTGTACAGGTGAAGATCCCATGCTTTTCAAAGAACGATGGGAGAAGCTTTTTGCCGAATTTTGCGATACAGAGAAGGTTGATCCCAGTAAACTTTCTGAGCTTTACGACAGCATGAAGTTCGATGCCCTTCATAACCGACAATTCTTAGAATGGGTCTTTATGCCACCCGATAGCGACGATAGTGAAGACGAAAAGCATCATTATACCCCGAAGAATACCAGACGAGATGATTCTGTCAGCCCTAACAATGAGAGTGACAATGATAAAAATGAAGAACAAACAGAAGGCTCTCTTTTTGCCCATCGGTTCGGATGGAAGAAGCGCATGCATGCATTCGAACTAATGCCACACTTCAGGGCACTTGATGACAGTTACGACCACTATTTCAAGTTATATCCAGGCTCCAGCTCAACGAAGGCTAAGATTGACGGGAGACTTTCGAAACTGAGGGAGCTATATAAACTGGCCAAGGTACTCTTTGATTATGTGACACCGCAGGAATATGGGATAACGGACACGGAGAAATTGGAAATTGGCCTCTTGACATCCTTGCCACTCTTGCAAGGAATAGTGAGGGATTTGGAAGAGGTCCAGGCTTCGCCGGACGCAAAGTCTTTCTTCTACTTCACGAAGGAGTCACACATTTATACTCTCTTAAACTGCATCTTAGAAGGGGGGATACAGACCAAGATAGCCAGGACTGCCATTCCCGAGCTGGACTACTTATCTCAGATCTGCTTCGAGCTCTATGAGGCCAAAGATTGTGAATCTTCAACAAATTCCTACTCGATTCGGATATCAATAAGCCCTGGTTGTCATGCTTTTGATCCACTGGACGTGCAACTCGATTCCCGGCATGCCATTGGATGTGCACCAAGGAGGAGCTTGACTGCCCATCAGGACTGGAAAGAGGTTATCGAGACCTTGAAGGCGAGATTCGACACGTAAGTTACGCCCTCAAGCGCTATACATGAAATTGATACTTTTATACTGATCAGTCACTATCATCTTCCAGAGTAAAGCTACCTAAGACATTCATCGCAGTGAACCTTAGTGATAAGCACGGATCACACTCTTGACGAGAATTCCATATATAATGGTTTCATACACGGGTTTGAGTTCCTGTCATACAGAATTTGTGGCTGTATGGTCTCTCCTCTTTCCCGTGTGCATTCTCTTGAGCAGGTCCCCTGGTATTAGGCTCATCTACACAGGATGTTGCGGTGCGACACATATTTCCGAGCAAACCCTTTCATGTAGAACAATCTATAGCTTACCAGCGAAAATGGCGAAACAATCATGGGGTCTTAGTTGGTCGATTTACTTGGTGCCCGGATTGATGACATGAAAGTGTTAGTGTGCCCCGCTCTTAGAGCTACTTGGGTCTAGATAGATAGTCCCGCTTAGGAAGCTGACATCCATGGACATTCCTATATATTCCGGCGTGGTCCTGACCTTCTTAGGCCGTTAGTCTACTGCTTATTGCTTCTTTTCTGCTTCTTTTCACGCTCCTTAAGCCCATTCCATTTTTTTTTCCGGATAGGTGACCTTCGAAACGTTCGCCCCACATGTCATCTTCTGTTGTATATACTGTCGACGTTGAGTGCTCTAATGACTCTGGTGCACACAAAGATAACATCCGGTGCATATCCCAACACGATCAAAATGAATTAATAATCGCCTGTGATAGCATTATCTCCATAGTGCCCCCAAAAAAGGATGGGGATAAATTGTATCGCCTGCTATTCTTCCGGGATGACGACGACACATGCGACCATGAGAGCAAACACACGTTACTCGAAAGCATCCAGCTAGCTACTTTACCTCCACAATTGCAAAAGCACCTGTTTACGGAGTTGCCGCCTTACCTACGCTCCTCTGGTCCTGAAGGGGCGAAAATAGATATTATTGTTTCTACCACATCTGGAACAGGAACAGGGGCGAGCTTCTGTAGCAACATCCTACGGCCGTTACTGTCATACATCGGAGTAGCAGATTATGAGCTCCATGAGACGAAGTCGACTCAAACTATCACAGATTTATGCTACGAAAAGTTCATTCCACGTGCCAAGCAAAGACTTCCGCAGACAATTATTCTCCTCTCAGGTGATGGAGGCCTAACCGACATAATTGATGCCTTCCACAGTACCCTGGAGAGTCTTCTCGTGCCTCCAACCATTGCTCTCATCCCCACTGGAACAGGAAATGCTATGGCGAATTCAATAGGATTGTTGACGTACCCAACGGCTAGTTTGGTAGCATTATTACAAGGAACACCGACTGGTGTACCTACATTTGTCGCCGAACTTTCACCGGGAGCGAGATATATTATTGACGAAGGCCGTGAAAGAGTTCCCATTACACGCAATTCGGCGAGCTTTCAAGGAACCCCCAAGGTTTACGGTGGCGTTGTTGCGAGTTGGGGTCTTCATGCGGCATTGGTTGCCGATAGCGATACTGTTCAGTATCGCAAGTTTGGAGCCGATAGGTTCAAGCTAGCCGCAAAAGAATTGCTCTACCCTTCTGACAGTGCCGAACCCCATAAGTTTAGCGGCAAGGTTACACTTTTCAAGTTGGACGACCAAAGTAGGAGCACGCGCGAAGAACTGCTGGCGTGCACCGAGCATATGTATGTGTTGGCTAGTCTTGTCTCGAGTCTCGAGAGAAATTTCATGATTTCTCCGTGCTCAAGGCCTTTGGACGGTCGGCTGTGGATGGTTCATTTTGAGCCAATGTCATCATCAAAGGTTATGCAAGTTATGGCTTCTGCATACCAGGCGGGGCAGCACGTGGAGGATGAAAGTGTCTCTTATGGTGAGATTGAAGGATTCCGGATTGAATTTCGTGAAGCAGACGAGAGATGGAGGCGGATCTGCATCGATGGAAAGATCATCGCGGTTGAAGATGGTGGTTGGGTGGAAATACATAAAACTTCCAGGGCCTTACTTACGATATTGCAGCACCAGAAGGCCTCGCCCGGGATTTAATGACGATTGAGATAGTTACCATGAAAGGATAAATTAGTTGCAGAGGTCAAGCCTGGGGTGGCCACTGCCATAGCCCCTGGCTCAGTTACATTGTACGTTTGAAGTAGTTAAGCTTTGAAGGTCTGGCCACCCGACCCGTTAGTTAGTTACTAACTATGTAGTTAACACTGCACTGAGTGACTAATGGTTATTGCTTGTAACGTATTCCACAATCGCACGGCCCATTAAATAATGCTATATAAAAGCTATTTTTTTAATCTTTAATATCTCAACCATTATGCCATCATATGACTTTATCTTTGAAGAAATAGATTACAATAATCAAAAATGTATTTTTAATTTTCTTTTTCAGATTTTAATAACCATATATAATAGCTGGTAATATAAAATACCTGTAATTCACTTGTAATTTAAATAAATTATTTAAAGGAATATTTGAATATTTCTAATATATTCATTTTATTATTATTAATCTCTATTTATCATTTTAGACTTATATAAAATGTAGTTATTGAGATATCATAATCATTATAAAAAATAAATACTGTATAGTTTTACAAGATGGGCCGCGCGATTGTGGAATACGTTAGTTAGTTACCGCAATTCAGTTTCGGAGGGTTCTAGCGTGATATGAATGCACTGACTGGACCAGGGTCCAGTGGAGACTACTTATCCATACCTCTTCGTAGCTTTCTACAGCCAATCTGATTATTATACCTCTCAGAAGCGCTACTTGTCCGAGCTATTCGATGGGGGACGTCGTCTCTCTTTTTTTGGGGGGGTTAACCATAGAAGTGATTTGAACAAGGGAATAAAAGTAGAAATACCAGGCAGAATATCTGCTACCACTAGTACGTATTTGGCGAGCAGAATAGGAGAAAGGCGGTCATGCTAGTGCGGACGGAAACGAAGAACTTATTAGTTAAAGTATAGTGTAAGTAGTAATCCTAGCACTTTATTTGACAGTCCTCCCGTCCAGTCAGGGGATAGTACTACACTTTCAGCCATGGCATAATGGACGGGTGACCGGGCAGCATCTTCTTTTACACCGATCTGCAGGCCTTTCATTGATAGCTTTAATGAAACACATACTTTATCTATCTCCCTGGACATAGTCGGCCACCTGCCATATACCCTTATCTGACGTTCAGAGAACCGGTCAGTCATCGTCTACGATGGTAATATATATACTTGTCTCCCATGTTCATATCTCCACGAACATATTCCGCATCGCAAACACCAGATCAAGGGCTTCGCTTGGCCGCCAGTGAAAACCAACTGAAGTATCATACGCTTCAAGGGTGGCGTGCAGACGCGACAGTTGCTAGCCGAGCTCCTGAAATGTTACTGATTCATCAGGCCGGCAGTGTTCGTGTCGGCGAGATAATCAGGTTTGTGACCTTCATCCCTTGGCTCCTCCCTCATCATAGAAGCTATGCTACATGCAAAACCTGTTACTTATTGAACCTGCCGAAACAGATACACGTTGACGTACACACCTGCGGCAGACAACATCCGCCCTCCTCCGGATAAGCTACACGTCAAGGTTAAGAATACATCTGCGCTGCCCCTACGAGCTGCATATCTACATGGCCCGTACACTCTCTATGCGTCATGTTATCCATCCACGTACAACCCGAATATTGGCGTCGACCAACAAGAATCAGAGTGTATTCCACAATATGAACCGTATCTCAAAGCCGGGGGCAGCTGGAATGCGGCCTTAATTGTACCCCAGAATACTTGCCACGATCGAGAAATCCACTACAAATCTGAGAGAAGTACGACCTGGGTCATTGAAATTATATCTCAAGTCGTATTCTCGAGCACTGCAACCGTCAATTTCGAGCTGCTAGTTGGTCGTGATGAGAATTCGGTAGAATCACTAGCTACGGGTGTATCCTTTGGTGCCGGGCTACCGAAGGCTGCTCAGTTGCATGAGCACTGGTCAGTTGAGACAAGGGGCAAGCAGGTGCTTGCTACCAAGGGCGTCTACTCTCGTTCTATAACTTTACTATTGGACGACACTGCTAGTCTCTGGAACACACCGCATCTTCCACCAGTGGGCTCTCATGATGAGCAGACTTCAGCAACAAACGGTGATAACCAAAGCCAGCCGACTAAAGACAAACAGATGAAAAGAATTCACCTTGTTGTGTTGACCCATGGACTACACAGCAATCTGGGGGCAGACATGCTTTACCTGAAAGAGAGCATTGATGCTGCCGTGAGGATGGCTAAAAGTAAGGCGAAAGCTAAAGGTCAGGGACACGGAGATCAGCAAAATGCCGAAGCATACCCAGCAATGGAAAGGTAAGCAGAGCGTTGGTGCGCCACATGCGAATGCTGCAGCGACCAATTTATTACAGTTATCGGTTGCCTTGCGCGAAACTTTCCACACATGGCTTAGAACAAATGTTCTTTTCCTTGTTCTTACGGACTCTTTACTTCCGAATTCTCCTCCTCTTCCGCACTCTGATTATCATCTTTTCAAGAAAGAAAATTCAATGACTCACAGGATGAATTGCTAACTTAAGCCTATAGTAGGCCAGATTGTGAAGACAGCGAGAACGACGATGAGCAGGTAATAGTAAGGGGCTTTCCCGGAAATGCAACCCGCACAGAGCGTGGTATACAGTACCTTGGCAAACGTCTCGCAAAATATGTTCTGCGAATCGCATGTCCGGAGCAGCCTTTCGGTTCCCAGAAAGGTGTAGGAAAGAATCCAGCGCCGTTTTCGCCGTGGAAGCGAGCCACTGGAGAGCCTTCTCAACATGACCAGTCTCGCGATATGTACGGAGAACCGTCGCTCTCTCGGAATGGTGGTTATCAGGTCACCAGTATCAGCTTTGTCGGTCATTCACTTGGCGGTCTCGTTCAAACGTACGCGATCGCCTATATTCAAAAACACTTCCCTGACTTCTTCGACAAAATTAGACCGGTGAATTTCATAGCCCTGGCAACCCCATTTCTTGGTCTAAGTAATGAGAATCCGGTGTATGTTCGTTTTGCCTTAGATTTGGGACTTGTTGGTCGGACAGGCCAGGATTTAGGGCTTAGCTGGACAGCACCAAGGGTGAGGGGTGGCTGGGAGACTTTGATAGGAGGAAGGGGGCATTCTGTAAACTCCCAAGGAGTTTCAGACGCTCGTTCCAAGCCTTTGCTGAGGGTGCTTCCTTGTGGTCCTGCCCATGAGGTTCTTACAAAATTTCAACGCCGCACAATTTATTCCAATGTTGTAAATGATGGAATAGTACCTCTGCGGACCTCTTGTTTGCTCTTTCTTGACTGGAAAGGGCTTGACCGGGTTGAAAAGGCTAGGAGGGAAAATGGCATTGTGGGCACCATGGCCGAATGGGGCTGGGCAGAATTGACAGGAGCTAATTCAAATTCTTCACGGACCCATCTGACCAGCGAGGTAGAACTGACAATCACCAATGAGCAGAGCAGCTATCGCAATGGGGCTCGGTCAACAACAGACGATGCCTCTGCGGAACAAGATGTTACAATCGCGGCTGGTGTTACAAGCTGTACAACTAACCCCCCGTCATTTGAACAGCATCAGTATCCTGCTTCACCTGGAAACAGTGTAAATACTACTCCCAGACAGGTCTTGTCTCGATCTACGTCTATGGGCCCATTGTCCAAGATGTTTTCGATTTTGCGACCGAAGGAGACAGCCAGAACACAGTCGGGAAATAAACAAACGAGGATATACAAGCGCAGCCAAACCGTTGACACACTTGGTGGTATGGAGAGCCCAACCGTTGCCAGTTCTTGCGCTCAGGGACCCTCTGCTGCTGGCGACTTCCATGATTACGGGCCTCATACCCCTCCCCAAACTACGTTCTTCGAATCAGCTAGTGATCTTCTTATGCCGCCTCTTCCTTCCATAGACTTTATACTCGATCCCGCTAAGAGGCCGAGAACAATCTTCCATGATCGCATCTACAACCCCGAAGATATACCGCCCCCGATGGCGCCTAAGCGGCGAGCATTGACATTGGGATCTCTACAACAAAAACCATCGAATGCACAACCTGCTCCGAGAGTCGATTCCCGGGAGAAGTCACTTCCCGTCAACGAAACTGAGAGTGGCCTTAGGCTTGAAGAAAAAATCGCTAGAGCTTATCACCGTGATTTGTCATGGCGCAAAGTCCTTGTCCGCCTTGAGCCTGACGCTCACAACAACATTATTGTACGGCGAATGTTCACCAATGCCTATGGCTGGCCTGTTGTGCAACACCTCGTCAATACCCATTTCGGACCCCCATCAATAGCTCGCTACAATGATGCAAATGGACAGTGCGCTGACCCGTTGAATGCATCGGCAACCGAAACTGAAAGCTCGAAGAATGGTGATGAACCTCGAGCCACTTTACAAGAACCACAATTGGATACATGAAGTTTGTTGCCAATGTTATACATACTGAAAGGCTGAACACTCATTTCAGGTCTAGACCCTAACCCACATACAGTTCGGGGTCAAAATAAAGGAATCTATGAGCCGATACTGGTTTCTTTTGAATTTCTCGCGTTCCATGGGTTCATGCTTCTGTTGGGATCTTGAGGCTTGCCAAGGATTGCTCAACATGTACGCCAATATGTGTTGATTGCTTTTCGATTCGTATGATAGGTCTCCTATCAGAGCTGGGGCTGAGGAGGAAAGTGCTGGCTGCGTCCATATATATATATTCAGCTGAAGACACAAATACTTGCGCATGTAGAGATGCATATGTACGTCATATAGTATATAGTATTGTAATTTTACTCATTCACAGCACAGTATATTTGCACACCGTAAACGATGATACTGATCTGAGACATAGCTGACTCACGGTAGACCGAATCATTTGATCCGCTAAGTGCAGGTATCAATATTCAAAACTTCCCTGAATCTGCCCCCAAAACTCCTTAATGAGCTCCAGCCTGCTGTTCTCATCGGAGCATGCTCTAACAGCAAGGTATCTTCTTCCATCGAGAGTTGCTTCCCACGTTCCTGGGTTTCCATCTATCATGACACCACCTGCTTCGGTCAGTATTACCCAGCCTGCACAAACATCCCAGGCCCAGCAACCCCCTTCCCAGTATATGTCTAAAGTCCCAGCTGCGACAGCACAGAGGTTCAGCGCCGCAGAACCCATGCTGCGCATCGAACGGACCATTGCACCGCCATCTTCCTTTGCTCGGCCGAGTTTCTCGAAAGTTCGCACCTTTGTTTCCCAATTGGCACCTGTCCTCTCCGAGCCCCACTCAATACCGACGAGTGAATTCTCCAGGCCTTTCAATGGCCCTATATCATCGCCCTTTAAGGGAAGCTTGGTGGTGCGGTTCAAGTATGACCCACGGCCTTGTATTGCAGAATAAAGAGTGCGTGTTAAAGGGTTGAAGACGACACCTACAATGGGTACACGGCGAACAGCGAATCCAAGAGAAATACAGGAGCAGGGAAATCCATGCACGAAATTGACCGTACCATCGATAGGATCAACTACAAACGTGGGTGCATCGGTTAGGGGATGGGCTGGGTCATAGGTCTCCTCTCCATGAAACCTGTCGGTCATGTAAGTCAAGAACAACATCGAGTTGAAAGTGAGATGGTGTCAGTGAGAGTGAGTGTAGTGGGCCGCACTTTAGAGCGCAGGTAGGTGAGGACTGGACCATGAAGCATGGTTGTTGGGGAAAGGGGGATGATAAATAAGTCCGTATAGACCTACTGGTATGATGGATATTTTTCCATTAAGGCAGAGGATATCATAGTTTCAACGGCTTTATCATATCGAGTGACGATATCAGCAGCTAAAAGGATGGGGTTAGCGGGGCTTCGTTCATCTGCACGACCAAACCGCATAGCTACATTGCGTGTACATCAAGCTGGTGGGGCATATATAGTAGTCTTACAATTCATCTTTGATCCAGTACTATCATCGGTAGGTAGAGCGCTGTTGATGATATCCCCAGCACGGAATGCCAGGCTGATCAGGTAATCATGGATCTCGTCAAGATCAATGGGTTTGCCGTCATGTTGGTAAAATTTAGGAGCCATGGTTCTCATGCATAGGAATGGAGTTCGAAGGAAATGGAAAAGTGTCTGACTTTAGTGGATGCTCCGTTTGTAGAGTGGGATGGGCACCAATTCATGGATTAAATACCAGGGTACGAGGAAGAGAGATACAAGATGGTGAGGAGGAACGAGAAGCCGCTTACGCGTGAGAACGGAGAGGGGCCCCCGAACCTTGACTGTCTGATGCTTTTGGTTTTAGCCATGCCCGGCTCGGGCCGCCGAATGTAAGGGGTAGGACCTTCCTTGGTTGGCAGGTCGGTTGACTGCGTGTCCTGGCGGTAGTGATATTGAACTCGGTCGTGAGTACCACATCTACGAGATGTGTAAATTGCTGGGAAGTCTAAGCTTGAATGTCCTGTAGTCTAATTTCGAATATAGGTAAACCCAAACTATGTTGAAGAATGGACTGGCCGGTTCGGCATCCGTGGCTCTGTGCCCGCAGATGTCATTCTGCATCCATGAATCAGGAGAGTGTTGCGCAATGCCAATCAGGAAGAAGATCAGTTTTGCGCCAAGGTCCAACTCTACTTATGATATCTATTCGTATCCGAGTGACTACCCGACAATTCAACAATTGTCATCACTGGCTGAAGGCCCTAACGCTCTGGCTCATTTCTTTTTAAGAGGGCCCTTAGCACCAATCGACAGCATCCAAACAGTGCAGCCTGGATGGTGGTCTGACCAAGTATACTGAATACCAAATAATTCTTGGAGACGTGCATGTATGCTGCTTCACAAGCCTTATTGCCACCTCAATCTTGACTGGAGATCAACGACCCGGGCCCAGTTCTTTGTTCGATATCCTTGGAACCTATTTACAGCTGTCAAGCAGTGTTTACTGGGTTGTGGTCTCATCCGGGGCATTGGATGATAAATGCTTCGTAAAGCCCATCAAGCCGTTTCACCACGAGTTTATCAGACCAGTGACATGCCACCATCATAGTAATATACAACACCATTCCGAGGCTTTACTCGCTTTATTACCAGGAGGCGGTGATGAGAAAGTCTCTGCTAATGCTGCTGGTCTAAACCGGGAGGAGCTTCGTCAAGAAGCTACCCGGAAAAGCATCAGTGAACTGCGTTCTGTCCCCAGCAGCAGAGTCTGGATTACCACCAACAGATACTGCACCATCGGAAATAGCATGGACAGGCTGGAAAGATATTTGCACAACATTTGGCATTGATATCACCAGACAGGTAGGTATTTGTCGCATGAGAGTGCTGAGCATGATGCTATTGTCCTAGACATTCCCCGCATTCAGGGCAAAGGCCCACTATCCAGGCCAGTAAAAGGGGTACCTGGTGTTGATGTGGCAAGGGACCGAGATGAAAAACTTTGGGATGACTTCCCTTTCATCGTACCAGACATGGCAGACTACTGGATTAACGGGTTCGTGACAATGTCTAGGACCTAGCGGCTGAACTTGACCTCCTTTCTCTCGCTGAAGTGGCCTCAACTCGCGTCTGCAAGGATCAACTCTGCCGGATTGCCGCCTTCCTGCTCCGCGTTACTTTGGAGGAAGAAATAGATCACCGCCCCATTAACAGGACAGACGAAGAAGACCCATTGCGCACGATGAAGTGGGTTTCAATGGCAGACTTGCTGCCCTCTGCCTACGCGTGGTTTAACGGGCTGGCGGAAAACTTGTCTAATTGGCGAATATCTCGTGAAACGATAGCCCGAGTTTGATTAGGCGCGGTGGCTGGCAATTCAATGAATGGCAAATAGCACAGCAGCCGCAGCCCGGCTTTACTCCTTGGAGGTGATTGTTCTGGCCTGAAGAAGTCGTTGAGGCCACACGGGAATGAAGGCGAGGAAGACGAGAAGGAGAAGGAAGGCGAAGAGGCCGGCATCAATGAGAAAGTGGACAAAGCGAGTGCGGTGGGTAAGGACTCTGTTTTGGATTGCTCCCTTCCATGTTGTATTGACTCACCCTTGCAACTCCCCCTTGCCTTGATGCTGTCGCAGCTCCCTAGAGCGTCAATAGTACATTGTGCGTCTTCTTGTAAGTCCGCATGCGCACAATCATGCTAAATTCGATAACACATTTTTATGGCCCTAGGGCTCTCAGTCCTTAATTGATCAAATGGTGACAATAGGGTTGACTTCTGTCTCTGTGACAACCATATAATTTTGTATACATCGCGGGCACGCAACTCGGAAGAGAGGGGTCACCGCCCAGCCCAGTATTAGAAGGTCCTCCTCTCAATCACGAGCAGTGTCTAATACCGCGCGTTTATTTTACCGAAATCCAGTAGTCTGTCTTGATACTTATACATAGAAACTTCACATGAATGTAGTATCTCAAGCCAGATTGAACAGGAGGAACCTACTATGGCTGGATGGCTACCCAATCGAGTGGGCGGTACCGAAGTCTGAAATAGTTGACCCCCACCAGCCGGCGGGGAAAAGAAGACGTAGAAAAGGAAGAGAAAGCACATATTACATTGATTTCAGCGTGTGCAAATTGTCGCCTCTTTTACCTCTTCCATCAGTTTGAAGTTGAGAACCCTTTAACATGCCGACAGAGCTAGAAGAGGTAGGTAGAACCATGCCTTTGACTGAAAGGAAACCCAGGGTCCTCAATTTGGAGACTGATGTATTCGCATCGATCAGCTTGTTGAATTCCTCCACCATGGAAACACCCCGATCAGACAGATTGGTAAGCTACAGATTGCATAGACTTCTGCTTCTTAGACCGCAGATTTCTGCTATCTTCATATCTCGCCATCTTCCGAGGCATACATCAGCGTCATTCTAACTTCTGGTCTTTTCAGCATGCGAAAATCTAGTTGGCTTTTCGGTCTCACAACCAGAACTTTTCAAACGCCACCAGCTTCTACCAGTCCGTGACTTGAAGCTTTTGGTCCGCGACTACACAGTCAGTACTCGGGTCCTTCATTTGTGCCGACAAACATTGATTAAGGCATTCGCTGATCTTCTTCCGACCCCGAAAGCCTATCGCCAAAAATGCGATAACAATACTTATCAACCTTTCGGCCGATGATGAAGTCTTAGCGGCTCTTGCGGAAGACGATGCTTTCGTCGAAACCCTCTTAGTTAAATTGACGGTGAGTTGCCTAATTGATATCAATATCTGCATAGCGGCCTAACACCCAGTTCTACAGAATGTCAAGGAGCCGAATGCGGATGATGTCGCCATGTTGTTCGCCAACCTCGCGAAATCAGAAAAGATGAAAAAATTGCTCGCGCTGAAACGGAAGGTTCCTGAGGGGGTATCCAGTTCTGCTAATGCGATCGATCAGCTGATGGACTGTTTCGTCAAAGGGGCCGAGGGCACCCTTAACAAAAACGCCAATTTCGACTATCTGTCCTATTTGTTTGCCGATCTCTCAAAATATGAGGAAGGGCGGGCCTATTTCACTACAAAGCAAGAGTACGATGATGTTGTGCCGGTGACGAAACTAACCGTGTTCACGGAACACACGAGTGGGATCCGGAGAAAGGGAGTCGCGTCAACTATCAAAAACGTCGCATTTGACCTGCCTTTCCATCCCAAACTCCTGTCTGAAGACGAGGCTGATATTCTTCCCTATATCTTGTTGCCTATCATGGGCGCTGAGGAATATGATGACGAAGAATCTATGGATATGCTGCCAGATCTCCAGCTGCTGCCGCCCGACAAACAAAGAGACAGCGACACTAGTATCATTGTGACACACCTTGAGACTCTGCTGCTGCTCACCACGACGCGTGAGGGACGGGATAAGATGAGGGCCATCAAAGTATATCCTATAATCCGAGAATGTCACCTCCATGTTGATGACGATGCTGTTCGGGAAGCCTGCGATAGGCTAGTTCAGGTTTTGATGCGGGATGAAGAGGGCGAAGAAAAGCCGCATCCCCCTATCGACAGGAATGTATATGATGATGACCAAAAGGTTGAGGAGTTATTCTAAGGATTTGCATTTGAAAGGTGCGCATGTGTTGTGAGGCATTCGGGAGCCCGTACCAATAGACGAGCCTAGTGGCCTTAATACAAAACATCCTAAAAGTCTTTCAATTCATCTTTTCAAAATCTCTCGATAATGAATTGACCTGTAAGCTTGGGCCGTCGTGTATTGTAGTCTAGACCTGTGACGCTGTTGTCAGACTGAAGTCTAGTCAAACTATTTACTTAAAGTAGTTAGACGGATGCATTTGCTCGCATCGTTGCCCATACTATACATTATGTATATATTTACCTATAAATCCAGCCTGCTTGCTCCAGGCAATTCGCATGATATATCAGACTGAAGATAGATCATACCCACAGTCCGCTTTGTATCCAATACTTCAAAGTATTTCTTTGATCTGTCCAGGCCGAGGTAAAAGGTAATTCGCATAATAGTGATAATGTCCAATAGACACCATAAGGGCTGACAACTTGAGTGAGTTTTTGTAAGAATACAATGTAGCCCACAGTGACATTATCTGAGCAGTGGTAACGCCAGACGGAGTATGCCGTTGTACCTTTGTGACGCCACCACCTTTGTCAACAAATGAATGCCCACTTACATAATCACTTTCACTTCAGTCATCTCGCGTCCGCCCGGCTTCACTTCAAGTACTCAACGCCTGAGTAGTTATCTACTCTCGCTCGAGATCTTCATCTTCCACCCGGCACACCGCATGAATCTGACAATCTGAACCTGGCCTTAAGCACAACACTTGCAGCATTCAAGCCAGTTTTCCTCGAAGACTTGCCAAGGCCTTCCCTGACCCCGACAAGTACTACAGAACGTTATTATGACCACACCTACTAATGATCAGGCTCTCAAGACCCCGACGGGGTCGAACGGCCCTCCACCACTGCGCATTCGCCGGCCAAAAGTGGCTGATCCTCTAGTGCGACCCAAGAGGAGACCGGCAATGAGACCACCAGCTCCAACGTCGGCAGCAAATGGCGCATCAAGAATGCCCAACTCCAGACCAGTCACTTCGGGCCAGCTACCAGGGGCTCGCGCTGAGAAAAGCTTGACCCCAAAGAATGATTTCTCGGCAAACGGTTTCAGCGGCCAGTTGTTGTCTGAGTACGTTGATTACCCCATCGTGACTACAAGACGAGCATTGCGCGAAGGCTTGAAGCACCATATCGCCAGGTTCACCTCGAAAAAGTCCGTCGATCCTCGCGACGAAAGTCAGTTTACTCGCCCTGTTAGACTCCAGCGCCGAGATCCACGAGCTCGGCCGAACGACGCGAACGTCGAGAGAGGCCAACCCAATTCGAAACCTGGCTCCGAACAAAGTACCCAGATGGATGAACTTGAACGCGAGGAGTTGGAGGCTAGAAAAGCAGCTCGTGAAAAAGAGCGCGCAGATAATATGGCCCAAATAGCCCCTTCCGTCGGCTCAGCGCCGAAAAGGCATAATGCTCCCAAACAGAAAACTCAGCAAGTGACTAAAACAGACATGACCCCCGAGGAGATTGCTAGGACCCGGATCAAGTATGAGGAGGCCCTTCCGTGGCATTTGGAGGATTTCGACAACAAAAATATCTGGGTAGGAAATTATGAAGCCGCGTTGTCAGAGACTCACGCAGTCTTTGTGCTTGAGAATACAGGGAAGATGAGAATGATACCGGTTGAGAAGTGGTATCGCTTCAGCGCGAAGAATACATTCAAGGCTTTGACCATAGAAGAAGCCGAGAGACTTATGGCTAAGAAGATCAAAGATCCGCGGTGGTTCATGGAGAAACAACAAGAACAAGCTCAACGGAAGGAACTGGAACAATTTGCCAGGCAACAAAAAGTGTACGCTGGTAAACAGGGAACCCCAGGCGGTGTCGAAGGACTAGAAGCGGATGAAATGGACTTCGAAGAGGATAGATTTGCCGATGATGAGGAGCATGATGATCTTTTCAACGAAGATGAGGAAGCCAAGGCCGCTGAAAAGCGAATAAAGCAAGACCAATTGAAAGCCAATGTGTTTGATCTGAAGAACGAAAAGGACTATGAAGAGGAGGAACTTAGAGAGAAAAGAGAAAAGGAAGCCCGTCGAGTGCTTGGAAAGAAAGTACGGAAGGCCCTCCAGAAAAGGGAAAAGAATTATGATTATAGTAGCGGTTCAGATGTGAACCCTTATTCAGATGAGGAGGTACATTTTTCGTCCTTACCCTTTTCATATGTACATTTGTACAGTATTTTTGTTGTGACGATCTGACATTGGACAGAGCTCGGACGACAGTGAAGCCGAACGACAGAAGGAGGAGGAAGAGGGCAAAGCCGAGGAGGACAAGAACAAGAAAGAGCCCTCAAAAGGCAACCTTACTCCATCAGGTCGCTCACGACACGCCGATCCAGCCAAGAAAGGCTCTGCCGCAGCACCTAGAAAGCGACTAGGGTCTCCTTCTGATGCAAGTGGTACAGATACGTCCCGCAAGAAGGGGAAGAGCAAACATCCGTCTTCCCAGCCGACACCTCAGCCACCATCCCGTCCTATGTCTCCAAGCGCGTCATCATTACCCGTACGTTTTACATTCGTTAAACTGCATTTGTTTCGATTATTGACTCCGCCTAGGTCAGCAAAAAGCGTGTTCGGAATGTGTTAGCAGGCGGCGCGGGATCTGCTAGCGATGTTGACGGCGGGGCTGGATCGGGGGGCGAAATGAGTGAGAGTGGAAAGGTTAAGAAACTAAAGCTCAATCCTCCGTCAGTGGCATCACAGAGTGGGACACCGCAGGGCTCAAGGGCCGGCAGTCCGGCTCCCTTGGGCAGCAAGAGCTTCTCTGGCAGTCGTGCTAGCAGTCCGGAATCTTTGAGGGGTAAGTTATATGATTCTATCATTCTGTGCACTACGAATCGATTTACTGAGTGGCTGTACACCTGCAGGTCCAACACGCATTTCAACCCCGGGTCCATCTGGCAGTGCCCAGGGCTTCCCAACACCCGCGGAAATCCATGCTGCTATTCCGCAGTCTGGTATTGGAAGTAGTGATCTGCTTAGAATCTTCCGTCCTCGTATTGGGGAATCCAAAGAGAACCACCGGCGTTTCATAGCAATTGTCAAAGATGTTGGAGTGTACGGGAAAGAAGATAGGCTCCTACGACCTGGTTCACTGAAAGAGACATAAACCGATACATCACTATCATGCAGATCATATGACAGTGTTGTCTCGCACCAACGAACAAAGTGCTTTCGCGAAGCGTGAGCGATCAATGGAAAGACCAGAAAAAGCCTTGCCGTTGCACTGACCTAAAGGAAAATCGCCATGGTTTTTGTAGGGGTTGCTGGACAGTGTACAGCTAGCTATAGGGCACAAGAGACAAAGGCGCCACCGGTGTATCTAATCTTAATTCGATAATCTACATAAGTTGAATGCCCTTCGTACCTGTCAAGGCAAAGTGATTTTTTAGGCACGATCGTTGTCAAAGTCTTCGTAATTGTAGCGAAAGAGGCAGCGTCAATCCAGCATCGAGCGAATCGACTTGTGCGTAGAATAATGTTGCAAGTAGTAACAAATGCATATGAGCAGTTTGAAATCACCTCAAATCGTAATAGAGTATGTGAAGAAATTTTATCTCTTATTCTCATTCGCACCGTAACAGTTGATTGATACGACTATATTCCTACATCAATCGCCAAGGGTCTGACATATTGAACAGTGATATTAGGGGCAATTTCGAAACACCAGCGCTAGAACAAGACTGAGATTTAGAAACAAACGAACAACAACAGAACTCCTATATATATTGGTAAATGAATCTACCCCTAGGCATCAGCCACTCCAGTGTTGCGTTCACCATCCTCATATTTCTCCCAGTTGGCTAGGATATGCGCGATTCTTGGAGAGTTGGTGAGTCTGTAAACATCCTCGAAGTACTCCTTGGTGATCTCGAACGGTCTTGCTGTGACGTTCGGGATATATTTGCCGATCAGTTTACTTGGGTCAATAGTAGTCTTGTTGATCTTCTTGAGCAAGAAAGAGCGGAAGGGCTTGACACCAGAGCGAAGGAAGGTGCTGTGGAAGGGCACATCAATGCCTCGGAGAGGAATGGTGGCGAAGCCGCGCTCGAGAGCAATAGGCTTAGGCTTCGACTCTGTCTGCTTGACACACTCTTGGATAATATTGACAAGGTGCGCCTTGACGTCGTCCAAAGACATGCTCTGCATAAGTGCAGGGATGTCAATGTTCTGAGCCTTGAGATAGTTGAGCAGGTTCGTGAGACAGTCGAGTGCCCGAAGCTACAAAGAAGTTAGAACAGAACGCACGATAAGTTGTAGATATAGGGGGAAAGACTCACATCACCGGCAGCAACATATTGCATGTTGGCGACATTGTAGTTGACAATCTCCAGGAGCCAGCCAGTCTCCTCAGAGATGTTCTCCACCACATATTGCAAGGCTTGTTCGTTGAACGTCTTGGAGATTCGGCTCGGGTTGACAGCACACATAGAGTAGTTAGAGCGACCTTGCTCGTCTCGCTCAACAGCAACCTGCATCGTCAAGCCACGATAGAAAACAACAGAGACCAAGCTTTCAATGGGCATGACATCGGCAAGTGCGGCGAGAGCCGAATACTCACCCAGCGAGTGACCTGCAAAGCTGCTATCTCTTTGAACGAGACCCTTGGAACGCATGTCCTCGAAACTTGCCTTCTCCATCAAAGTCAGAGCCGGCTGAGTGAACTGAGTTGCGGAAAGCAGGCCAGAGGGTGAACGGTAAGTGTAAGACGCGGTATCCTCATCGATCTCCTTGAAGATCTTCTCAGACTTGATGGATCCATCTGCGTTGACGGTTTCAAAGGTCATCGACATGTAATTCTGCCGAATAGCTTTACCACGAGGACCACCAAAGTAGACAGTCAGCTCCTTGGGGTTGTTCTTCACAATGTCGATGATTGAGAGACCGTAGTTCTCTATGAAATGGCGGTCTGCACGATCCCAAACCTCTTTGGCAACTGGGCTGTTGGCGTACAATTCCATACCCATTCCCTGCTCCTGGGATCCCTGGCCGGTGAAGACGTACGACGTGACAGGTTGCTCTACTTCAGCCTCACCAAGGAGAACCTTATCTTCAGTGTCTTTGTTGATGACCTCGACCTTGATGATCTTACGACCAGCGATCATACCAACATGCTGTAACTTAACGGCGATGACATCATTGGGCAAGACCATGCCAACCAGGGACACATGGAAGCCTCGAACGCGGCCAATGTTGTTTTCGGCCGCCCACGTCTCAACATAGCTGCGGACGGCAGCACTCGAGTACATCCCGTGAGTGATAGTACCGGGCAAGTTGGCGTAGCTGGAGAAGACTCGAGATACATGGATGGGGTTGTAGTCGCCAGAGACACGAGCGTATGTTTCGTTGGACGCAGGAGCGCGCAATTCCAAGGCAGTCTTGCCGCTGAGAGGGATGGGGTTCTCAAAGTAGACCGGTTGTTCAATAGACGTTCCGTTGCGCTGAAGGTAGTCGATCACGGGGTTTCCGTGAGAAGTACCGGCTTCATAGTCCACAGACGCCACTTGGATAATCTCCTTAGTGGGGAGCTCGAGGAGTACTTGACCAATTGTCTGGACGTGGCTGAATACAGACTTGTTCTTGAAACGGATCAGACTTTGAAGACGGAAAGTCAAGGTCTGACCCAACAGCTCAACATCAGGGCCGTCCATACGGAACCATTCCTTCGAGCGAAGGATCGCAACATCCCGACTGGAAGCGAGATGAACCTGCATAGGCACTTCGTCCTTGCGCTGGAAGGTGTTTTCGTAGTCCAGATAGGCTCCACGGTACAAGAATTGACTGGTGACGTGCATGATAGGCTGACCATCTCTTTCAATTGTACCGCAGACTTCAACCATCTTACCAGATTCCTGGTTAATGACAGCGTTGATCTGAGCAGTAGTGTCCAGAACATCTCCGACCTTGAGAGGCTGAGCTCCAGGGACCATCTTGAACCCATTGGAAAGGTGAACCAGCTTTAAGAGATCACCATCGATGGTGCGTGGGAAAATAGGCTTAGTGATTGCCTGCCAACCAGCAACAATGGCAAAGTCCATGGGAGCATAGACCTCTTTACCGGGACGGTCGACAAAGGCTTCGCCAGTGTTACCGACTGCATGAACGAAATCAGCAACGGCTTGGGACGTGATAGTGGTACGCCCGCCGCTGAAAGTGGCAGTGGTGGGCGTATCAAACGGAACATCCTTGTTGCCAAACCACACACGGTAGTAGAACTCCTTGATGCGGTCATTGCGGCCGTCCATGACCTCACGGATGGGAGCGTAGCCTGCCTCAGGATGATATGTGAACAAGAAAGTTAAAGGCACAACGCCGGCCTCGGCCGTTCGTCCTTCATACATAGTAAAGCTAATTTGACTCTGTTCGTTCATCTTCACCTCGACTGTCTTGACAAGCTTGCCAGACTGATAAGGTTCTCTCACAATGATAGTCGTCTTCGAAGGATCATCCGGGAAAGAAACTTCAACATACATACCCGGAACGGGCGCAACAATCCGTTTCATCGGGTTAGTCTGGAAACGATGGCCTTGGACAAATACATCGGCCAGGAACATGGCATGCCGCCAGGAATATGACGGTCCAGCAAGGAGACGCAACCAACGGTCCAGATCCGGCAGGTCAGCGGTAGGGGAGGACGACAAGCGGTAGGCGACCTTGTTAGCGTCTTCCGAGATGGTGAGGCCGTCGATGTCCGAATCATCAACATCCTGCTGGAAACGACCTCCGAAGTATTCAATAACAGGCACTCCGCTGTTATCGCCGCCGTAGACATCCTTGGTCAAGCTTTCAATATGACCCTGATGAATACCATTCAGGATGTCCGCAACTGGCTCGTCAATAATGTTCGAGAACTTGGCAGCCATCGGACCCTGCAGGATACATGTTCTACCAACGTCCTGACCAACAACCGCCTCAAGGTCTTCGCTTTGCCACAGGGAGTCCTTCTTGAACCAGTACTCGAAGTTCTCGTCCAGAGAGGGGACGAACGGCACTGGCTTTTGACCGCGCCGCTGGCAGAGCAATAGGAAGTGCTGGACATCTTGGGCGTTGATCAACTGAGTTGCCGCTTCCGGATAGGAAGCCAGGATGTTGTCAATGGCCGGGTACGGTGTGTTGAGCTCCGAGTAGTTTTGAAGCAGAGACGGTTGACCCTCAGTAGTGGTGAATCGTTCTTCAACTCGACGGATAAAATCGCCGGTCAGCTTCTTCAACGATTCATCAATCCATCTACTCTCATGCTTGACATACATGAGGTCCACCATGCGGTGAACCACTTCGGTGTAAGTCATGTCTTCCAAGTCGACTGTCTCTCCGGCAGCGTTGCGACCGAACCAAACCTTCTGGAAGTCGTCGTTGAGCTTTTGGATGATGTAGTTCCGAAGCTTCTTGAGCTCGGGGACACGCTTTGCCTTGTCAAGCTTGAAGATCTTCTGGTCCATTTCGTGCCAGAAGAGAACACCTCGAGTGGCCAACTTGTGAATAGGCTCACCCATCTCCGAAAGTACGGTGACGACACCACCTGCCGAGCCCTTGTAAGTCTTCTCCCAGTCCTTGTCGTCGAGACCCGGAGCCTCGGCGATGGCCTTCTTGGCGTTCTTGGATGTATGCGCTTCTTTGGAGATCATCATGCGACTGCCGAACAGGCATCCATCGAAAGGCATAGGCGGGTAACCGAAGCCAGAAGACCAGGTACCAGACAGGTAGGGATAGGTATCTTCCGAGCCGCCGAAACCACTGCCGGCAACCAGAACGATATTCTCGCAGCGCCTAATGCGGCTATACATCTGCAAAATTGGCTGGTGGAAATCTTCGAAGGAGTGATGTCCACCACCACGTCCACCAGTCCATTGCAGGATGATAGGGAACTTCGGATTAGCCTTTGCGATATTGATGACTTGCTGAATCGCATCGACAGAGCCCGGCTTGAAGGCGATGTGCTTGATACCCAGCGTTTCAATGTATTCGTTGGCCACCTCGATAGACGGCACACCGGCACCGATGGTCAAACCTTCAATTGGCACACCCTCAGCCCTCAGCCTGCCAATCAGGGGAATCTGCCAAGCCATAGCCCGGGGGTTAACATAGATCAGGTTGATTGTTATACCACGACCAGGGGGGATCGCCTTTTCAATCTTGTTGACGGCCTCGGTCATTGATTTGGAATTGTAATAACCACCACCAGCAAGTTCAATGTGATAGCCAGCGTTCATGGTCGCGGCAACAAAATCCCATGGAACAGTGGTTGGCGTCATTCCAGCAACCATGATGGGAGGGATGCCTAGCAGTCGACTCATCTTGGTATCAACGAAGGTTTGCCCCACTGCGTTCTTCACGAGACGCGGTCCATATTCCTTAACCCAGTCAATGGCATACTGGACGGAGTGTTCATCGCGATCGAAGAGCTCAGGCTTGTAGCCAACTTCGGCGTTGGTGCCATCCATAGCCCCAGCAAGAACCACGCGGACACCGGTACCATCCTTGTTGCGGTTTGTAAGAACTCCAAGACCGGAGATGCCACCAGGTCCAAAGTCAACGATATGTGTGGCCCCTGAGAAGACAGTTGCCTGCTCCCAATTAACGGCATCGTGAGTGATCATTCGAACCAGGGCGGGAACAACATTAGCTTCACCGGACTTGCTCAGATCACTGCCAGACTTCGTATCGAAAACCGGGATTGCGAGGGACCCGGCAGGGATCTCGATGTCTTCAAGATCTTCCAGAATCCGGTCATATGCCGGGTACAAGTACTGGCTGTGGAACGGAGCGGTGATAGGAAGGAAGCGGTTAACGAAGCGAACTTTACGTTGTGTGTAGGGCACCCGGTTTTGGTCCAAACCTGTCGGAGCCTTGACCTTGCGCAGGCGCAAGTTGAGACCGTAAAGAGAGAGGGGCGGTCCAGTGACAACGAAATTCCGAGCACTGTTGACAAGCGAAATGGAGATATGGCGATCCTCGGGAAGATGCTGGTTCGTAGTGTCAATATGTTCCTGAACGGCAGATCTTGGGAGGTCTCGGATAGACAACATAGGCGTAGGCGTGCCTTCTCCGTTTTCGATCGAATCCTGGAGGACAGACGGGGCAATGGAAGTGCGGGGGTAGGCCTGTTGACTACGGAGACCAATCCAGAAAAGCATCGTCAAGGCATTCTTGGCGGCCTTGTCGAAACTCTCCCAAGTAGAGGCAGAGGCAATTGCAGCAGCTGTTACGACGCCCTGGGAATGGCCAGTGGTTCCACTGAACCTTTCCAGAAGCTCACCGGGCGTTTTGCCCAAGACCTTGCAGGTCACAACAAAGTGCGCCAGCTGAACCAATCCGATCAACGGCAAGCTCACCGGGGCCGACACAAGGTAGTCGGTGTCGGGCTGGGAGTCACGATCCTGAAGCCATTGCATGATATCCAATCCCTTGGAATAGAGCTTGCTGGCTTCGGGCTCATGAGAGAGACTCTGCAGCAATTCCGCGGACGAAGTGATAAGATCGTCGACGAAGGAAGGGTAAGTGGTGTAGATTTCTCTCAGCTCATCAAAGTACTCTTCGATATTCCCTTGTCCTCCGAAAACCGAGTAGATGCTCGCCTTCTCGTCCGAGGCAGCTCGGAACAATGCGGAGTCGTAGGGCTTAAGAGGGCGACCAACTGCTGTTCTCCCAGCATAGTAAGCCTGAACGACGGTAACCTTCTTGGAGGTAATGCCGGGTAGGCTGGCAGCAACAGCATGGACGTCATTGCCCCTCATAAAGGCGCGTTCAAACTCGTTCAGAGCCAGCTTCAGAACCTCCACATAAGTTCCACTCGCATCATCCTCGCCTTCTTCAACTTCATGTGCAACATGTCCGATGTATCTAGCCACCAGTTCCGGAACTGAGGAAGGCTCATCATCCTGAGCAAGCTCGTCCGTCGGCTGTGGTAAAGAAGCTGTAAAGGTATCCTTCAATTGCGACGCATGGAAATGAAGGGAGGTCGGCACAAGGAAGGAAAATTCGAGTGACCCATGTGTGAGAATAAGGGGCCTCAACGATTGTGACGAGCGAGGGGTATTAATGCCCGTCTGGGGGCCAGTGGACGTTCCGTACATCTCGTGGTCTCGTGTATGTCTCTATTGGTTTGGTCTGAAATAACGCAATTGAAAGCCAAGCAATGGCGAAGGTATTATCAACAAGGATATATCGAGAGACTCTGTTATGTATAAGCGTTATGCAAGACCCTAGAAATTTTCGAGGAAGGAATGATGTTGCAATGGCAAGGCTCTGAATGATGGGGTAGGAAAGGCACTTGCGGGGAAGAAATCCGGAACGAAAACACTTAAATTTTTTCTTTCTTTCCCAAGGATGGGAGTGCAAGAAGTTGAGTGAAGGTTATGAACAATTGAATCAACTGTTCCCGGGGTATCCTACCTAATTCTATCACGGATGGGTCTTTTCTTTCGAACAATACTTGATCAAGTCTGGCCGAGTGTCATCGACTGGTCCACCGTCCACCGATGAGAAGATAGCGGTGTAATGAGGTTATGGGCAAGTTTTAGAGGAGGAAAAATATTACAATATGGAAAAAACGGTAAAATAGATATGAAGAACAAAATGAAGAAGGATGACAATAGAAGGGGAAAAAAGGGAGAGAAGGTGAACTGGTACAGACTGGAGTGGACGGGGTGAACCAGACCTTAATTGGTACAAAAAAAAAGCTGTTCACCACATCCAGGCGATATTTTATTATTACACGTGCAGAGATAGGTGTGGCACTCACACAACGCTGCCCACACAACCAAGCAACCACAACCACAACACACTCTGTTGAACCGGCCGAGCGGAGGCAGAATTCCGCCGGCTTGGGCTGGTTGAATGGGAACTGACCGGATTAGGTATGGTGGGCAAGAGGATCTCCCCAAAGGTCCAAAATGGTTGGGCTGGCCCGTAGGGTTGGATATGACAATACCTGACCAGTGACCACCAATGTAGTACCCTCCCACTCTACCCGAGTTAGTCCAGTACTCATAACTACTCCGTCTATCTATCTATCTATATATCCATGCACCGTATTTTCAACTCCTGCCTGCAATGTAGGTACTAAATTGCAATTGTACTTACTGGTTGTAGTAGCATAAAGGTAGCGTACCTACCCGCATTATACATGTATACCTTGCATTTTAAAAAGAAAATCTATAGGAGCTCTGAAAGACCTAGCTACTCCCTCCATCAATGGCCATATATGCGCACCATAGTCTACATCGAGACAGATAATATGCTAAGGCAAAAGTATTAGTCCCTTCATAACTCGTATTTGAGATGTATCTAGCCCCGTTTCTAGCCTGAACGTAGTCGCTTATACTGCTCTCACATTTATTACTTATGCAAGGACGTCTACTGGGAAATGGGGACCCAAGATCGGTTCAACTATAATGGGCCAATCAATGCTACTCGAATGTTATCATAGTAGTACTCACAGAAATTGACGAGTGGCATATAGTCGATCAAAGAAGTACTACTTCCGTGGTACACTGTTGTCAATGATCGCCTAGCTGTCACTGGTTGAGGCATTCCGTTTCATACTTCTTGAAGCCCAGATGTAGATTAGTACTTGCTACACAATTCCCAACCATTACCATCTAATTAACTCTGAGATCTCCAATTTCTAAACTCCTGATAGTATGTATGGTAAAGCTAGAAAATGCTGCTGAGTGACTATACAAAGGCACCAATGATGAACAGGCACTACTTAGTAGAGATAAGTAACTACTAGTATTGTAGAGAGTATACTTTGTATTCATGGAGTGTAGGTATTAGCTAAGTCATTTATTACGCGTGGGTAATGAGAAGAAAAATTACGGAGCCAGGTTAGCTCAACTTATGATTTGGTTTGACTCCAACTTCCATATTTCCGTTTATCATGATTATTATTATTATTATTATTATCACCATCATGGACTCTCATTGGAGGGGAGAAGAAGTTCTACCCTGTTCCATTCCAATTTAATGGCTGTTTCCATGAGTTGTTCCCCAAAACGTCCCTCCTGGAGTACATCCATACTCCGTACTCCGTACCGCACGAAAGTAATCTCCCGCCCCAACACTCACCAAAAGCTTCTAGTCCAAAATCCCATCCACCCATAACTCTGTAAGCCCTCTTCTGTCGGTGCATAGATAGTATCTTCCAATCTCCCTATTTCGTCTAATAGAAATTCATAATTCTACTATTTTATTTTTTTTTATCGTGATTTTTTTTTGTCCCCTATCCCATCCACTTTTCTTTGGGACATCTCGGTCCCAGGGCATCGGCGAATTCTCCCCACCGCCAGTGGCTCCAGGCTGGGGTGAGTACTCTTAATTCCCACCTCTAACAACTTTTTTTCCCTTCCGTTCCAGCATCTTTTTTCCGCTGGCTGGTTGTATGTGCGGTTCAACCAGGAGCCAGAAAACAACTTCTTCTTTCCAAGTAATTATTTCTCTATTTTGCTGACTGATTCTTGTTCAATTAGAACTGAAACTGTTCAACCATCATCACCTTATATTATCAGTTTAATTATATTCTTCTTCTCTTACCCTAAGCCTCATCACTCGATTTCCCTACCGTTGGCCGCTGTTCTTCCTGGATTATCACTCGAGCCGGTTTTTCCAGTCGTATCTTCCCCCCACCAAGTCTGTCGCAATTTCCTGATACTGCGACCGCTATTCTTGAACCGCACCGGGGCTCTTTTCTATACTCTTGCTATTCTATTACCTAGTCTCCTTCAATATGCGGCCCGAAATCGAGCAGGAGCTGGCTCACACTTTGCTGGTTGAACTTCTGGCCTACCAGTTCGCTTCACCGGTGAGATGGATTGAGACCCAGGATGTCATTCTCGCAGAGAAAAGGACAGAGCGAATTGTGGAAATCGGTCCCGCAGACACACTGGGTGGTATGGCGAGACGGACCCTCGCATCAAAATATGAGGCATACGATGCTGCTACTTCCGTGCAGCGTCAAATACTTTGCTACAACAAAGATGCGAAGGAGGTCTATTACGATGTTGATCCCGTGGAGGAAGAAGAAGCGCAACCATCGGCAGAGCCTGCGGCCGGTGCCCCTGCTGCTGCTGCTCCTGCTGCTGCTCCTGCCGCTGCTGCTCCCGCGGCTGCTGCTCCACCTAGTGCCGGCCCTGCAGCAGCAATTGAGGATGCACCGGTTACGGCAGTGGATGTGCTGAGGACTCTGGTCGCGCAGAAGTTGAAGAAGAGCTTGTCGGATGTGCCCTTGAGTAAAGCCATCAAAGATCTGGTTGGAGGTATGTATTTGCCATCTCATCCGCCTCCACATCATTGCAAATGGATATTAATTTGGTTCCCTTTCACTACCAGGTAAATCCACTCTGCAGAATGAAATTTTGGGAGATCTCGGAAAGGAATTCGGTTCGACGCCCGAGAAACCGGAAGACACACCTCTGGACGAGCTAGGCGCATCTATGCAGGCGACATTCAATGGACAACTCGGCAAGCAGTCCTCATCCCTCATTGCTCGCCTAGTCTCATCGAAGATGCCCGGTGGCTTCAACATTACCGCAGTTCGCAAATACCTTGAGACAAGATGGGGTTTGGGATCTGGTCGTCAAGATGGCGTCCTTCTCCTTGCTCTCACTATGGAGCCACCCTCCCGTATTGGCTCCGAGGCTGAGGCCAAGTCATACCTTGATGATGTTGCCAACAAATACGCTGCCAGCGCCGGCATCAGCCTTTCGGCACCGGCAGCTGGTGGTGATAGCGGGGCAGGTGGTGGCGGCATGCTTATGGATCCGGCCGCCATTGATGCCTTGACCAAAGACCAACGGGCATTGTTCAAGCAGCAGCTGGAGATAATTGCGCGTTATTTGAAGATGGATCTACGCGCCGGTCAAAAGGCTTACATCACTTCTCAGGAGTCTCAGAAAACATTGCAGGCCCAGCTGGACCTTTGGCAGGCCGAGCATGGCGATTTCTATGCTTCTGGTATCGAGCCGGCTTTCGATGCCCTGAAAGCACGCGTGTATGATTCTTCTTGGAACTGGGCCCGCCAGGATGCTCTGAGCATGTACTACGACATCATTTTCGGCAGGCTCAAGGTCGTAGATCGTGAGATTGTGAGCCAGTGCATTCGCATCATGAACCGTTCAAACCCACTGCTTCTTGAGTTCATGCAGTACCACATTGACAACTGCCCCACTGATCGGGGTGAGACTTATCAGTTGGCCAAGGAACTTGGTGAGCAACTCATCGAAAACTGCAAGGAAGTCTTGGGTGTCGCCCCTGTGTACAAGGATGTCGCTGTGCCCACCGGACCCCAGACTACTGTCGATGCCAGAGGAAACATTGGGTACAAGGAGGTTCCCCGGGCTAGCGCTCGCAAGTTGGAACACTACGTGAAGCAAATGGCGGAGGGAGGCCCTATCTCCGAGTACAGCAACCGCACGAAGGTCCAGAATGATCTCCGCAGTGTCTACAAGTTGATCCGCAGACAACATCGCTTGTCCAAGTCATCGCAACTTCAGTTCAATGCGCTCTACAAGGAAGTTATTCGTGCTCTCAGCATGAATGAGAACCAGATCATGCCCCAAGAGAACGGTTCTGGCAAGAAGACCGGCAGGAATGGTGTCAAGCGCAACGGCAGCCCCCGCGCAGGTAAAGTGGAGACCATTCCCTTCTTGCATCTCAAGAAGAAGTCCGAACACGGCTGGGATTACAGCAAGAAACTCACCGGTGTTTACCTGGACGTATTGGAATCTGCTGCACGGTCAGGTCTCACCTTCCAAGGCAAGAACGTCTTGATGACAGGCGCAGGTGCAGGTTCCATTGGAGCGGAAGTGCTGCAAGGCCTGATTAGTGGTGGCGCCAAGGTGGTTGTCACGACAAGCCGATACTCTCGTGAGGTCACTGAGTACTACCAAGCCATGTATGCCCGCTATGGTAGCCGTGGCTCTCAGCTTGTTGTGGTGCCTTTCAACCAAGGTAGCAAGCAAGATGTGGAAGCACTTGTCGACTATATCTACGACGCAAAGAAGGGTCTCGGCTGGGATTTGGACTTCGTTGTTCCATTTGCCGCCATTCCTGAGAATGGACGTGAAATTGACTCGATTGACTCGAAGTCTGAACTGGCTCACCGCATCATGTTGACAAACCTCTTGCGACTTTTGGGTTGCATCAAGACACAGAAGCAGAGCAACGGTTTTGAAACCCGTCCCGCTCAAGTCATCCTCCCCTTGTCTCCTAACCATGGTACTTTCGGAAACGATGGTCTGTACTCTGAGTCTAAGCTGGCTTTGGAAACCCTCTTCAACCGCTGGTATTCGGAGAACTGGAACAACTACCTGACCATTTGTGGTGCTGTGATTGGATGGACTCGGGGTACAGGTCTCATGAGCGGCAACAACATGGTTGCCGAAGGTGTTGAGAAGCTCGGTGTCCGTACCTTTTCCCAGCAAGAGATGGCCTTCAACTTGCTTGGTCTCATGGCGCCTGCGATCGTCAACCTGTGTCAGCTCGACCCTGTCTGGGCCGACCTTAATGGTGGTCTCCAATTCATTCCTGACCTGAAGGACCTCATGACCAAGCTTCGCACGGAAATCATGGAGACAAGTGATGTTCGCCAGGCAGTCATCAAAGAGACTGCAATCGAAAACAAGATCGTCAATGGAGAGGATAGTGAGGTCCTCTATAAACGGGTGATCGCTGAGCCCCGTGCCAACATCAAGTTCCAGTTCCCTAATCTGCCTAACTGGGAGGAGGATGTGAAGCCACTTAACGACAACCTGAAAGGCATGGTCAACCTGGACAAGGTCGTGGTGGTCACCGGATTTTCGGAGGTCGGACCCTGGGGTAACTCTCGCACACGCTGGGAGATGGAGGCTTACGGCAAATTCTCCCTTGAAGGATGTGTGGAGATGGCATGGATCATGGGTCTTATCAAGCACCACAACGGTCCACTGAAGGGTAAGGCCTATTCAGGATGGGTCGATGCGAAGTCTGGGGAGCCCGTGGATGATAAGGATGTGAAGCCGAAGTACGAGAAGTTCATCCTTGAACATTCTGGTATTCGGCTTATCGAGCCCGAATTGTTCAAGGGCTATGACCCCAAGAAGAAGCAGCTGCTCCAGGAAATTGTCATCCAGGAGGACTTGGATCCGTTTGAAGCTTCGAAAGAGACCGCAGAGGAATTCAAGCGTGAGCATGGCGAAAAGGTGGAGATCTTTGAATTGCCAGAGTCCGGCGAGTACACTGTGCGTCTGAAGAAGGGAGCCACTCTCTTGATCCCGAAGGCCCTTCAGTTCGACCGCCTTGTTGCTGGCCAGATCCCTACTGGCTGGGATGCTAAGAGATACGGTATCCCTGACGATATCATCGAACAAGTGGACCCAGTCACGTTGTTCGTCCTTGTCTGCACTGCTGAGTCTATGCTTTCAGCTGGTATTACCGATCCGTATGAATTCTACAAGTACGTCCACCTGTCTGAGGTCGGAAACTGCATCGGCTCGGGTATCGGTGGTACCCACGCGTTGCGGGGAATGTACAAGGACCGCTACCTGGACAAGCCTCTTCAAAAGGACATTCTGCAGGAATCTTTCATCAACACTATGAGTGCCTGGGTTAACATGCTTCTCTTGTCCTCAACTGGCCCGATCAAGACTCCAGTCGGAGCTTGCGCCACTGCGGTCGAATCCGTTGACATTGGTTACGAGACGATCGTGGAAGGAAAGGCTCGTGTCTGCTTTGTTGGAGGATTCGACGATTTCCAGGAAGAAGGATCCTATGAATTCGCCAACATGAAGGCGACCAGCAATGCCGAAGATGAGTTTGCCCATGGTCGCACCCCGCAAGAAATGTCGCGGCCTACCACTACCACTCGTGCTGGATTCATGGAGTCTCAGGGTTGCGGTATGCAACTCATTATGAGTGCCCAGCTTGCTCTGGACATGGGTGTACCGATCTATGGTATCATTGCGCTGACCACCACGGCTACCGACAAGATTGGTCGCTCTGTTCCCGCACCCGGTCAAGGAGTTCTCACCACCGCGCGTGAGAACCCTGGCAAGTTCCCATCTCCTTTGCTGGACATCAAGTACCGTCGCCGTCAGCTTGACCTGCGTAAGAAGCAGATTAAGGAATGGCAAGAATCCGAGTTGTTGTACCTCCAGGAAGAAGCCGAGGCTATGAAAGCCCAGGCCGCTGATGAATCTTTCGACGTCTCTGGCTACCTTCACGAGCGCGCTCAGCACATTGAACGCGAAGCTATCCGCCAGGAGAAGGATGCCCAGTTCAGCCTTGGAAACAATTTCTGGAAGCAGGATTCACGTATCGCTCCTCTCCGTGGTGCTCTCGCCACCTGGGGTCTGACTGTTGATGATATCGGTGTCGCCTCATTCCACGGTACTTCTACTGTCGCTAATGACAAGAACGAATCGGACGTCATTTGCCAGCAGATGAAGCACCTGGGTCGGAAGAAGGGCAACGCCCTTTTGGGTATCTTCCAGAAATATCTCACTGGACATCCCAAGGGTGCTGCTGGTGCCTGGATGTTCAACGGCTGTCTTCAGGTTCTTGAAAGTGGTCTGGTTCCTGGCAACCGCAACGCTGATAACGTCGACAAGGTGATGGAGAAATTCGACTACATCGTTTACCCAAGCCGCAGCATCCAGACTGACGGTATCAATGCCTTCTCTGTCACTTCATTTGGTTTCGGCCAGAAGGGTGCACAGGTTATTGGTATTCACCCTAAGTACCTCTACGCAACCCTGGATCGGGCACAGTACCAGACCTACAAGGCCAAGGTCGAGGCGAGACAGAAGAAGGCATACCGCTTCTTCCACAACGGCCTCATCAACAACAGCATCTTCGTCGCTAAGGATAAGGCTCCTTACGAAGATGCCCAGCAGAGCAAGGTCTTCCTCAACCCTGATTACCGTGTGGCTGCCGACAAGAAGACCTCGCAACTCAAATTTCCTGCCCAGCCCCCCAAGGCTGATGACAAAGGACTTGAGAGCACAAAGACTATGATCGAGTCGCTGGCTAAGGCTAATGCTTCTGAAGACTCGAAGGTCGGTGTGGATGTGGAGAACATCGAAAGTTTCAATATTGAAAATGAAACCTTCATCGAACGGAATTTCACTGCAAGCGAGCAAGAGTACTGCCAAAAGGCAGCGTCTCCTCGATCATCCTTTGCCGGACGGTGGAGTGCCAAGGAAGCTGTTTTCAAGGCCTTGGGTGTCAGCAGCAAGGGCGCAGGTGCCCCTCTCAAGGACATTGAGATCTCCAGTGACTCAACCGGGGCTCCCGTCGTCAATGTAAGTACTACTTTGTAACTGCCCCGCCGATAGGAAATCCCGACTAACTTGCTATCCAGCTTCACGGTGCTGCAGCTGAAGCTGCCAAGCAGGCTGGCGTCAAACAGGTCAGCGTCAGCATCAGCCACAGTGATACCCAGGCAGTCGCGGTCGCGGTCTCCAAATTTTAATGCGCTTGATGAGGAATAATGGCCTGAATTTATGTCATGTACCTTGAGTGTAATCTATCATGTCTCTTTCCTAGCCTCGTTAGACAGTATTAGATTGTCAATACATAACGTGTTTGATTCCAATGCTTGCTCAAGTGTTCACTTATCATTGTCTCTTCTTCATGTTTATTTGCACTGCTTCGTTCCGATAAGCAAATTAATACGTGGCTTGCTGACCTCACAGCGGACACCTCAACTCTTACTCGGTTGTATTCCCACGGCGACTTAGAAGAGTGTATTGAATCCATAATGGACAAATTCTCAAAGCTTACACGGGTAAACTTCAAGCCTAGTTAAGGTACTATTAAGTAATGCAATGACAATTGAAGTGCAGTTATGATGGATGATAGCTATCTACAACTACACTAGATAAATGCGCAATTCAGTGTTCTACTTGCCTCCGGATGCTCGGCTCAAAGGACCCCAGTTCTCACGAGGATTTATCTGGTACCGCACCAGCCGCTTCTTGGCCGTCTCCCTGCCCAATGCCTCATCGAATACAACCTCCAGCGTGCTAGGGTGCGGTCTGCCTGTACCATTGGGACTACGGGGAGGCTTTGTGTCCTGGGGGCCCTTCTGCGTTGTTCCCGGCTGTTCACGCTGGGGATCAGATTCTCTTCTCTTCCTTCCAAACGCTTGACGAGCACCGGAGCGATACAAGGCAGCTTCAATCTTGGTAACCATATCTTTGACATCCTTTGCCTCTTCTGCGACTGCCTGAAGCTCGGTCTTGAGAAGTGCCAGAGACGGGTCTTCCCCCTCACAGCCTTGAACGTTCTCCCGGCTCTTGGACATAATGACAGCGCCGGGACTACCGGGCTTGAGGGCGCCTTCTCTGATGGGAGACTTCTGCCTCACCCATTCCCTCATTATCTCCCAGATCACCTCCCAAGGAGCATCGGTACGAATTGTATTCGGTCTGGCGTGGCTACGGGTTGACCGGTAGCCTAGGTGTCGAATAGCCCCACGCATGGCATCAATGGAAATCGTGGATGTATGCAAGACTTTGGATAAGGCGCTGAGACTGAAGTAGAAGGGGTATTCTTCCCGGGCGGCGGGGTCGAGCCGTGGGATGATTGCAGAATACTCGTTCACAGGGATATCCCCACCGACTGTGCCAGTAGGTGTCTGGTTGGCTTCGTCACTAGGAATTTCTAGATTCAGGTCTTCTTCCATTGCTGTGGTCAACATTCCCTCGATCCGGTCAATGGTATGATACACGTCCCTATCTGCCTGGGGAAGCATATCAAGGATCCTGCGGATGAAGTGAGCATTATGAAGAGGACCAGCCCACATAGGACCGCTGAGGTGAGTCCTAGAGCCACAATGGCCACAACGACTATCTGCTACCGGACCCTGAGCGAAGCCGAAGTGATAGAACGGATTTCCTTTCTTGTCCAGCTTCTGTTTCGTCTGGGTTATAGGCTGAGTCGACCAAGCGCCACAGCCAGCATCGCAGTTGTAGACCATCATCATGTTTCCAGATATATACTTGACTTCAGCTGGGGAGCGATGGACACGGACGAATACTCGAGCATAAAAATCGATCGATAGGGACAGAAGCGGCTCAATCGCGAGTCCATATTTCGCAGCGGAGGCTGCAAGCCCGTGCAGAATGAGACGCAGGCCACCTTCGTGGCAATGCGGTCCTTTCACTGGAATTCCGCCATATAGGGCGAACGACTTCTCGGGATACCCGTACGAGGCCCAGACACCTGCATCGGTACAGGTCACACAAAGAAGGCCGCCATCCTTGACACCCTGGACCGCAGCATCCATGAACGGTGCAGCAGAGCCGTAAGGGTCCAGATCAATCACGTCGAATTTTCCTAGGTGGTTCTCGACAGTTGGGGTGTTGGCTTGTTGGTTTAAGAGACTGTACATGTAAGCGCGCGCATCCCCGGTGTTAGGACGGATCTTTTCGCCGAGACTATTGTATTTGATGTTCGTCTTCATGGATTCAATTGCCGAGGGTGACAGATCGTTTGCGACGACGCAAGAGGTGAAAGGTATCTCCGAAGCATATCGCAGGGCACGCAGACCCGTAGCCGAGAGGGCGTCTAAAATCGTAAAAGACGGCGCCGTGTCCTGGTCTGCCTGCTGTGCTGTAGTCGGATTCCCTTGGCCTTGATTCTGATCTTCCGTTTGTTCCTTGACATCGACCTCTTCTCTCTTGCGCTTCTTGCCCTTCGCTAAGTCGCTCGCCGCAGCCTTTTGCTTCCTCTTCTCGGCCTTCTGTTTCTTCAGGGCCAGCAAATGCTCCCCATATGCGCGAATGGCAAGGACACTAAGGTCCCGGTTGAACTGTTGGATAGGGTTGTAGAAGACTGATTGCGATTGCTCGTCAGCTTTGCGATCCCTTTTCGTACCGGGAGCCTGAGCCGGGGGGTTCAGAATGTACGCCAATCCTTCCTTCACTGCTCTGTACTCAGTGCCGTCATACTGTATCAATTGTTCAGCCATCTCCGCAGCCGATGAGCGGGTAGAGTAGACTCGGCGGAGTGGCGGGCGTTGTTGGAATCCTAGGGCGGTGCAGCGGGCAATTGCGCGATGGCTGCGGAGTCTAAACTGGACTGAGAGGGCACGATAAAGGACACCAAGGTGTGGGCTCATGGACCCGGACTTTGGAAATTGACCTGGTGGTGACTTGGCTATGGGCTAGGCAATAGATGAACAGCAAGCAAGTCCTTCGTCTTTTCTGCTTGTCGGGAAACTTTTTTTTTGACTTCCGCCCGCCAACCTTTCCGATCAGCTAAGCACGGACCAACTCCCTACTATCTAATCACATAAATGTCATAACTATAAACTCAATTCATTCCCCTCTTCACATTCTATCAGAGCTGTCATTAACATTAATTCTTGCTTCTTGCTTATTATACAATCATATCGGCCGTTATTCCCGTCCTTGAAGTATTATGTGTCGAAGCACTAACCGCTAGACCAAGAATGATATACTGCGTCTAGTCAGCCAGGCGACGGAGAGATATGTTCCCCAAACTATGTTTGTCCGAATCAATTGGGTCAGAGCCAGGACCCAATAACGGGGACCTGGCTATAAATTTCATTCCATCCCTTGGCCTCCCAGCCATAACCTTGCCCCGTTCGCCCGATGATGCCCAGGGCGCCTGCAAGCCATATGGATGCTCCCACCGCGGCAATGCCGTTGACCGTCCACCACATCTTCCTCTGTCGGCGGATTCGTTGCTCATTTTCCGAGGCTCCCAGATAACCCTCTAGGGAGCCCTTTTTTCGGTCACGTTCTTTCCGGACCGTTGTCACTCTCCAGCCCATCCATGCAGCCCAGCCGCCGACGAAGTGCCACACCCCAACGGCGACGAATAACAGATAGTATAGATTCCAGAGTGCGGGGGCCCGTGCAAAGCCGTGGGCCACATAACCCAGCCCGACTCCTGAGCTTCCCCCATCGACCATTAACGGAGTGATGCGGTTGACGAGCACATGGGCGCCAAGTAACGGAACCAACGAATATCCTAACCGAGCTTGGAGACTCATCCGAGGCCAAAACGTCAACGAGTGTCTCTGTGACCTTGTCTCGGCACCATAGAGTCGTGCCCGCCGTGCGGAACGAATGTTGCGCAAAGCAATTCCGGACGCAATATGAATCAGAACAGGCGCAGTCAGGACGAGATGTTCGAGGCCCGGAGATTGATAGACGGGTCTGGTGAGAAGTAGGAAGCTCTCGCTATCGGGTACGGATCGAGTAGCCAGAGGGATGAGAGAGGTATTGACCCAATGCAATGCAAGGAATAGGGTTGGTGGATACGTCGAGTATCGTTGGAAGGCAGACACTGGAGATATTGAGGTCATTGTTAGCTCCTAGGAACAACGTATATTCTTGCCATTATCACAATAGCTTGCATATACTTAGCCATACACCATGAATCCCAACTGTGTCCGCGAAGACCTAACTTGAGCGATGAGAACCGACCACCCCCGGCGATGGGCTCGCGTGCCGATGGCGGACTTGGTTCTCTGGGGAAGTATTCACCAGATTCGAGGTCTGGAAACTCATCTTGGACTGGCGATGGGTCTAATTCTTGCATTGAGAATATGGAGCGCGTTTCGATATCCTCTGGTTTGGATGGCATGCTTTCTTTTGAGGCAGCCATGGCTCAAAAAACAGCACCGGGCCACCAGGTGCTATGTTATATATGTCCACGCCAGGAGCCAGAATTAGGGCTGGTCAGCTATTCCAATCAAACCGGCTGCGATGGGGGTTGTCTGGATTCAGAGCATGGTCGTTTGAACAATAATTCCTCGCTGTGATTTGGGGCAGCAGGTTTCCTTGAAACTTGATCTCATCGACACTTTCTTGGTAAAGAACTGCTAGGCGATGATCCTCCGTATTAGAGGCTTCATGATTGGCCCGTTATGGTCGACCTCCGTAGTCACGGTATTGCACCGGTATTGACGGTATCTAATCGAACCCCAGTTCAAGCTCCTCTTCCGCGGGCGGTGGTTTTCATTCGGCAGAAAGTATCAACCTCAACGCGCAGTCGCTGATAGATGTATTGCTACCTAACAAGTTACGACAATCAGAGGCTCAAACCATCACCGCTCAGCGAGCAAGCAGCAAATCCGCAAACCCGTACATACGCTCTTTCGCTGTCCGCGACAAAACCCTTTGCAAGTGTATCTGCGTACTTCTCATAGAACGATGGCGCCTGCAAGTGCCCAGATTCCGAACATCTCCCCTATTGAAGTTATATATCTTCATAGCAACAAGTTCCCAAATCTTAGCTGACCAATGCGTCTACATACACAGCGAGGCTTTACCAATCCCACTCCCAAGGTGCGATTCAGGGCTTAGTTTCAAGGAGCTTGAGGGACGTAAAGACCCGTGCTTTCATGCTAACTCAGGACCACCGCATCTCAAACTAGACCGAATCTGCGCGTTCCGCTCTGAGCTCCTTCACCTGCACGCTCTGCAACAAGTCTTACTCTCGCCATCCAGAATACGAGGCCCATATTTCTTCATATGACCATCAACACCGCAAGCGTCTCCAAGACCTCAAGCAGTTATCCCGGGACCCCAATGCCGCCGAGAAGGCCAGAAGAGCCGAACGGAAGGCCGACGCCGAGGCCGGGTTAAGAGTCATCGACACACCCAAAGCTGCATCAGTATCTACTACGGGAACGGGATCTGGAGCAGGTGGAAGTACAGGGGGCGGGGGAGGGTTTAAAAAGGGAGGGTTCAAAAGTTCCTTTACCACTGTGAAAGGACCTGTGGCTCCTGCAGCTCCCACGAAGAAAAACGTCCTAGGCGGTGACGATGATGACAATGAAATTCCAGAAGCAGATGATGCGATTCTGCGGCGCGCTCGGAGCCAATCGACGAAACGCGAAAATATGCAGGTTGATCAGGCGGAGAGCGATACTGATGAAGAGTACGACGGGGATGGGGGTATGAATGGGGTGTATTACAATCCTCGAAATCCCACCGGTTGTTCCCCTGCGTGTGCTGGTGCTAGGAACGTTCCTCTAGAGACTTCCTTTGTCTGAAACGAGCATCATGCGGAGCACAGTACGGATGTGGCGATCACACCGACTATGTACTGTGACGTCAAATGGCCGATCACTATCCCAATTTCCTTCCTAATGACTTGATGCGTCCAATACGTATGTGGATGATGCTATCCAGAAACGAGACATTGCAAGCATGGAGGTGGTTTCTCAACCGTCTCTCTCCTTAGCCGAGGGTCGATGATCTGGTAATAGCAACGGCACCGGAGGAGCAGACCCGAATTCATCGCGGGCTCGTTTGTGGTGGCACACGCCAATAGGAACAAAGCCAGATGCGATTATGAGAACATGCTACGGAAATATACAACCATGCCCGAGCACATTAGCTTCTAGAAATGCAGAATAACGTTGATTGTGTTGTATAGTCGTACAAAATCCAAGGAAGTAGGAGAGCGAGGTAATATGAGGGAAAAGGAGAAATGGCTGTAACAATGATAGGGTACTAGACACATGATTTTATTAATTCAGTTTTTCTTCACCGTCGGTTCATATACAACGGCTCATCCTTTACAGGCGCAAGAGCTTGGCAGCCTGGCTGACGATGGTGTCCTCCTGGGGGAAGCTCATGTTCTCGAGACCAACGGCGTAGGGGGTGGGGACCTCGGCACCAGTAACACGGACGGCGGGAGCAGTCAGGTAGTCGAAACCGTATTCCATGGAGAGAGCGAGGATCTCGGAGGAGACACCGAACATGGGGAAACCGGACTCGACGCACATGATGCGACCGGTCTTCTTGAGCGACTGGACGATAGTCTCAACGTCGAGGGGCTTGACGGAACGAAGGTTGATGACCTCAGCATCAACACCGTACTTCTGCTTCAGCTCAGCGGCAGCGTTGAGCGACTGTCCAACACAGCGGGAGAGAGTGACGATGGTCAAGTCCTTTCCGGGGCGCTCAATCTTGGCCTTGCCAATAGGAAGAACAAAGTCATCCTTCTGAGCGGCCTCGCTCATGGGGAAGGCCTGACCGTACAGCAGCCTATGCAAGAATTGTCAGACTCAAAAACATTCCACAGATACTCCGATACTTGCACGGGGCTACGTACTCGTTCTCAAGGACAACAACGGGGTTAGGGTCGCGGATGGCAGCCTTCAGCAGACCCTTGGCATCCTCCGAGCTCCAGGGAGCCACAACCTTCAGACCAGGGATACTGCCGTACCAAGCAGAGTAGTCCTGGGAGTGCTGGGCGGCAACACCAGCGGCGAAACCGTTCGGTCCACGGAAAGTGATGTTGCAGGGCTGGATACCACCAGACATGTAGTGGGTCTTGGCGGCAGAGTTGATGATCTGATCGATAGCCTGCATGGCGAAGTTGAAGGTCATGAACTCGCACTAGAGATCGGACAGCAGGTCTTAGTATATTGTGCATTTTCCCTCTGATAAACGTTGAACTTCCAGAGGTAACAGCAGATCGAGGAACTTACAATGGGGTGCAGTCCAGCAAGAGCAGCACCGACGGCGAGACCACAGAAACCGGCTTCCGTGATGGGGGTGTCAATGACCCGTTTGGGACCGAAGCGGTCCAACAGACCCCTCGTTACCTTGTAACTATAATAGTAGAGCGAGTTCAGATATGCGATCCATGGACTGCAGCCAATTCAGACGAGGGACAGGGTGCCATACGCTCCGTTGTACTGCGCAACCTCCTCTCCAAGAATGAAAGTCTTCTTGTTGCTCTCCAGCTCCTCGGCGAGCGCCTCGTTCAGAGCATCACGAACAGTGACCTCCTTGGTACCAGATTCCGTAGCATATCCCCGGAAGCGCAGGATTGAGGGCGCGCATGCGGTCTGAGGGCGAAGGGGAGCCGAAGTAAGGCGCGAAGAAAGCAGACGAGCTGCTGGGCGGAAAAGTCGGGGAGCAGCCATGGCCGGACTGTGAGATATATAATATAAGAAGAAGGAAGGGGAGAAAAAAAAGCAAGAGTAGAGGAAAGGAGAATTACTTCACGGAAATACCGGTCTGTTGGACAATTGGTATCAAAGGAAGAAAGAACAGCCGATGGGGAGGCTCGTCACTCTTTTTCGGGGGTTCGGGGAATCTTTTTCGTCGACGAGGTTTCGGCGGAAGGTTGGTTTTTGGTGAGAAGCTTCGAAGGGACTTGTTGGGCTTAGCGCTGACTAAGCCGTGTTGCGGTTTTGCTCTTTCCTGACGGTCTCACCGGTCGCCTCCTTCCGTAGCCTCCGTTTTGTCTCTCTCTCGCTCTTTCCCTCTCTCCCTGGCGTCTCGTCGGGATCTTTCCCTCCGATAAGCACTTCTGGGTCCCCCCTTCCTATCTATCTGAACTATTCCGTTTATTTAGTTAGCGCCTATCCGTGATAAGCTTGGTGTCGGTGCGTAAACCATCAAGGTACTTACTCACTTATCCATCTACCACCACGGATGTTGCATGGCTAACTGATCCGACTCTCTTTCCATCCTTCTCATGATTAGAGAGAGAGAGTTTACTTGCGCGTGTCATTCATTACATTAATTGCTCCTTGTCGGTCAATATCCCTGCTTCGTATTTAGATATCCAATCCACAATATCTGCTATCATTCTTCTCAATATCATCCCTAAGGGAGCATGAGCATGAGCATGTTCAGCAGCTACTATATGCTCTTCTCTACATTAGTGACCTTTCTTCTATTCTTTATACCCTCCTTCGTTTATGCTGTACAACCGACTGCGCCCAAGCCCATCGAGGCTCCATTGCGTGACCTGAAATGGGGCCAGCTCAATTTCCTTCACACCACAGATACTCATGGCTGGTTAGCTGGTCATTTACAAGAGTATGGCGCTGAAGTCTTCTTCGGAGCCATTCCCAGGCCTTACTGATTTCCAAACCCTTATAGACCCTCGTACTCCGCTGACTGGGGTGACTATATCTCCTTCGCTACCCGCATGCGCGAGAAGGCAGAGTCTATGGGTGTCGATCTACTAGTCATTGATACCGGCGATAGAGTGGAAGGAAATGGACTTTATGACTCTTCAGACCCCAAAGGCATCTACATCTCTAAAATTCTGCGAGAGCAGCATATCGACTTGATGTCATCGGGCAATCATGAGCTGTACAAGGAATCCACAGCATCAGCTGAGTTCTTTACCACTGCACTCAATTTCGCCGGACACTATCTTGCATCAAACATAGACTTCTATGACCCACGGACAAACGCTTTCAGGCCATTGGCACCTCGCTTTACGAAGATCGTCACCAAGCAATTGGGCATCCGCATCGTGGCCTTTGGATTTCTCTTCGACTTCAAAGGAAATGCTAACAACACTGTCGTGCGGCCTGTGAGGGAGACGATAAAGGAGGCATGGTTTCAGGAAGCTATCAGGGACCATGAGGTGGACCTCTTCTTGGTAATCGGTCATGCCCCTGTACATTCGGAGGAGTATTGGGACATATGGCGAGAAATCAGATCTCTTCGCTGGAGTACACCCATCCAATTCTTTGGCGGTCATTATCACATCCGTGACTACGCAAAGTATGATCGGATGTCCTACGGCTTGGCCAGCGGTCGCTTCATGGAAACGATCGGTTTTATGTCCATTAGTGGCCTCCCGACCCACCGTCAGCCCGGACTGTCCGCCTTAGCGTCCTCCCTGTGGCCATGGGACCGTTTCCATTTCAATCGGAAATATATCGATAATAACTTATTGTCATTCTACCATCACACTGGCCTGGATGAGACCACGTTCCCAACGGAACATGGACAGAACGTTTCCCAACTCATTGCGGAATCCCGGAGCGCTCTTCAGCTGGATGAAGTGTACGGGTGTGCTCCTCGCGATCTGTTCATGTTTCAAGCGAAATATCCAGGTGAGGGTAATATTTATACCTGGCTGGAGAC